TTTAACTGTATCCAAGTTTTCTCAATTTGGGTAGTGGCCTTGTTGATAATCTCTTTGCCATATTCAAGGAAAGCGTTCGTTCCCATTGCCCCTCCCTCGTACTCCGATGCACGTCGTTTTCAGCGAACCGTCTTGCGCGCTACTTTCTCTATTTATGTAAGCTCTAAAAACCCTGAAGATGACAAGCCCCCTTTAAACGTTAGTTTCCCTTGACACAACCACCTTACCAATTTTTTTGGTTTCTCTTTTAAAACCTGGGACAATTTGCCTTCTTTTATATATATCACATCTTTGTATGGGTAATCACATGATTTCGAGTGCAATTTGGAATAAATAAGCACGAGTAAATTTTTCAAAGACCAACAAAAGTCCACGAGCTCGTAGGGCGAGTGCATTTTGTGGTCTTACTACCTTTGTCAAATTCAAACTTTTTCAAGACCGACGCTTTCAAAATCAATAAGCTAAGAACTTGGAATTGTGCAAGGATTTTTTTATATGGTCACCAGCCTGTTAAAGATAACTTGCTTGGATAAAGATAACGAGCTCGGCGTTTACCAAGAAGCGTTTACAAGAAGCATACTGCCGTTTTGAAATCGGGAGAACGCTTCGAGCAACCAAAGATGAATGACACTTGCTAAGGTTTTTTAACGACTGTTCATCATTGTCTGTTCCTGAGACCCCATCATAGCTGGATTCATGCAGACATTTTTGAGATTCAAAACCCGAAAATGAAGGACGCAATTTGTTTTCTTTCGACGCTGCCATCGATGGGCGAGTGGAGCCACAGTTGTTGCGATGTTGGAAACTGCCAGGATTAATATAATATTTGCTTTTTCTCAGCTCAGCGCTGGAGTTTTCATTATATCATTTGGCCTACTGCAAGAGTCATCGTAGCTCTTCTTCGTCGCCTTCATCATAGTCGTTAAGGAAATTTATACCTCGGTGGCCTGTGACATTGGCGATAAGTTCTGTTACAATCTTTGCTTTATTCAGCCTCCTGACTGTTGTTGTTCTTGCACAATGATTCGTAAACTTTTTTCTCACTTTCTTGAGGGCTAGTACCAGCTACGGACACTTTCATTATGTGAGTTACGGTATTTTCGCCCATTGGTTTAGTTTGGATCAGATGTTTAAATTTTCGGTTTCGTTTGCTACTGAGGTAGAAAAAAACAGACCATCGCATGGACGTTTTAACAGAGGTCTTCGCTCCACAAAAGATTGAAAGAGAGCAACCGGACACCTTTCTCCTCCAACAAATAACGTACGTGACTTGAAATCCCTGTAGTTATCATGGAAACTTTTATCCTTGTTCATTTAAATGCCTGAAAAGTGTAGCTGTCATGGCTTGCGAGTGGTTGCGACCGTTTTGGTTCTTTATTTTTTTACTTTAGCGTAGTCTATAAGTAGCTTGTTTTTTAGTTCCCTGGCAAATTTTTTACTTTTTCCTCTATTTTGTCGACAGTATTTTTTTCTTAGCAACGCATTTTCAATACATTTAACCAGAAAAATGTACTTTTTACTGTGTTCGGGTTTTTTGGTTTTTTTTTTTAACTTTTCTATTGTTATTTTCCTTACAAAATTAAATCCTTTCGTCGTCTGCTGAAACCCATGGCCATTTTCTTGAATTTTGTTAAAACAGCTCTAATCTGATTGGTTCTTGGTGGTTTCTTTTGTGTTTTCAGCCAATTAGAAACCATTTGTAATTTGCACTCGTGTTACAACGTTGCACTCGTGTTACAGAAGAACTGCATTCCTTTCTCAGCCAATCAGAATTGAGTAGTTTTTTCGTGTATATTATTACGTGTAGATATACGAACTCAGCTAAGAATTTGGAAATGTGCAAGGAAAGGTGAAATACAGCTGCTATCAAGAGTCTTCTGTTATTCATGGCTGGTTTGTTTATTGGGTTTTTGGTTGAGAAAGGCGTCGCTTGTCAAAGTCGGAAATCCGATTTCGGATGGCATCGTTTTCGCTTATGACGTGCCTAATTAAATGGTAAACAGGGTAAAATAATTGATTAACGAGAAAGCAAGAATTTTGTAGGTAAGTGGCACGTGATGTCTTAAGTTTTGGTTATGGTTCGTGCTGAGGAGTTACATTGTTTTCAGCTATTTAACTAATCATGGCCATAATAAAGCACACGTTGACCATGACATTGATCAGCTCTACCAACTTAAAGTGTCACTTTATATCAACATAAATATTTGAGACAACTTCCTCTAAAGAAAAATAAAAAGGTTTCCTCGACGCAAACTCCAAACAGTTTACAGTTGCTGGAGGGTTTTTTGGTTTAAATTTGTTTTTCCTTTATTACGGTAGCATGATCATTCTTTTTGGAATAAAAGTTTTAATTACGTGCTAATTCAAACCTTAACAAAAATCACCCTTTACGTAAGAATGAATCAGGTGAATGTACGCAACAAGGCGACCTCGAGCGACATACAAGGTCATTGCGTAAGTAGATGATTTAATTGGAAATACCTTCTCTCTTTCGCTCCCCACAGCTTTGCTTCTAATACGCTATTAGCTTTTTGCATTGATTTTCATTACCTGGTCTTTCTTTTATTTGCCTTTCAAGAGCTTTATTTATAGATGCCTTAATTCCTGATGTCAGGTGTCAAAATAGACTGATCTCTTAAATTCTCAAGTCTTTTAAAACACTGGGAAAATTCTTTATAGCATGCATGGGATTTTTTTTACTTCGACTTTAAGTCGCACTATTTCTCTCGGTATAGAGGAAGGACAACGGCACGCGTAAATATTGGCGGGAATCGCTTTAAAACGGCCAAGAATGCCAACAACAAGACAGTGGACAGCAATAAATCAACCTCGTCCCCAGGGCTTTTCCCTTAAAAAATGGGTGGGGCGGGAAAAGGCCCTGGCATCGGCTGGTCGCGTGTCCCCTCGTACACCCTAAAATCCTGGGTGTAATAAATTAGCGATATGTGAAAAGCTAAAATTATGCGTAACCTCACAGCGCGCGATCTTGGGCGGCCTTTTATATCTCTTGACGAGTAACGAAATGTTTTACAAGATTTCTTTTTTGTCACAGATACTGGCTATGGTAATTTTTTGCTTTCCTCCGATTTCTATGAAGGAGACAGCGAGCGGTAACATTTGTAAAACTTCCTTTATAGAGCGATATAAATGACAAACAAACTATCGTACATGCATTAAGTTTGTACTGGCATGGAAAAGTCCGTTTTCGCGACTCTTTTGATATTTTTTTATTTCTTGCGAAGTGGACCGCCGTACACAACCTAGTTCTATTCACCTTGACTCTCAGCCATATCATAGCGACACGCGTTGGTTTAGACTTATCTAGTATGACCTGTATTTTTAAAAAATTCATTGACCTCTGCGAGACTTGACCGAAACCGGAAACCGCGCGCGCATGAAAAGTTTCTGGCACCCAGGGTATCAAACGACTCGGGTAACAAAGAAAGACTTGGGTCCATTTAAAATTGACAGAGCTGTAGTTGATTCCAATCGATCGGTCAATCTTCCCTTTGATATAAGGAAAAATATTTTGTACTTATTCTCGGAAGAGAAAAGAAATAAGATATCTTAAAATGTTTCAGATCGGCGACCTGTCATCGTTCCTGGCTGGAGGGCTGACTTGCGTCTGGCGCGGAGATTTGTTTGTTTCATGGTAGGGTTGTAGAGAAGACCAGACCCCATAAAGCATTTTGATGAACAATTCTATTTCAGTTAAGTTCAATTTGTTTAAATTCACTGCAGATCCTAGAGGCAAAGGCCCGCATTTTTGTTTGACATTGGACAAAATAACTTTCCGCTTGATGATCGTACAGTAATTCCACAGTCACGATGAAAAACCATAATCTGGAATAACAAAGAAATAAAAGTAGAAAACAAGCCGGTTTATTATAAACATTATGTTAATGCGAGAGTCATTTGCATTCAAGATCTTTTACTTAGTCTGAACAGCACTGATTCTTATAATGAACTGTCTAAAAAAGTATGCAAAACAAATATTTTAGAATGGGCTGGCTTACGTAGGTCCATTCCATTATCGTTAAGAGGTTATGACAGGTATCCTTCCATAAACTCTCCAACATTTGTGGTGGGTGACAATACTTTTGATGTTACGAAAGGGAAATCAAAGGATTGCTACAACCTATTCATCAGAGAAAAAGCTAAACCGCCCAATATTATTTAAAAATTACAGAGTAACTTTCATTTTAACAGCGACAATCTGAGGCAAATATTTAAGCTGCCTCACTCTATCGTTGTCGAATCGTATGTTAAAGCTTTCCAGTACAAGGTAATTAACTCAATTCTTTACACAAATACGATGAATTTCAGTCGAAGTACTACTCGATAACAGCTTGTCTCAACTCTGAAGCATTTGACATATTTTGTACGTGACAACGTAGAGCCGGTACGCCCTTTCATAAACTTGTAGCATTTGAATAATACGTAATTAAATGGATCTTAAGCTTTTGAATCGCACAAACGCGAAAATATTGACAAACATTTCTCGATATTATTATTTTCCATTGTTGCTCCGTTCGACTTCTGTCAGCGCAAACCAGCGGGTTGCATATAAATTAGCTTCTGAGGAATAATTAGGCTGTGCACGTGACCAGCCGATGCCAGGGCCTTTTCCCGCCCCACCCATTTTTTAAGGGAAAAGTCCTGGGTTGCAAGAAATGAAAGACAGAATAAGGCACGGAATTTTACAAACGCATTGTTACACAACAATGATTCTCGCTACCTATGTTTTATTTCAGTACCCCATTTACCACCGGGTTTTTACTAATGCGGTACACCAAGCGGCGTACACGACTAGGCTCTTTTCGTGAATGGATGTACAACTCTTGTGATTTATCAATACGCTGTTGTTCATAAATTACCTCACTTTATCAAGCCTAAAGCGGAGCTCCACTTTCACGTTTACCTGAAGCAACTGTAAACCATTGCAAATAAATTCACAAATGTACTTCAGGTATGATAAGAGGTGATATTGACCACGGTTGTGATTACTTATGACTGGTGTATTTCGAACCTCAATCATGATTGGTGGATTTCTATCTCAAGTTTTCACGCTTGACATTTCTCTCTTTAGCTTTTAAGAGTGAGAACTCGCTGACGATGAAATAGAAACTCGCCTAGATATATTTATGTCAAAACCCGCGTATTCTTTTGTGAAAAGATCAAGCTTCTTGATTTATTTAAATTTTAATCCTAATCAGTAATTTTTAACCTATCGGCAATCGCCTTGAGAATTTCGCCTTGTGCTTCTACTGTGGCTTGTAGTTTAAGGATGGCTTCCTCTTGCTTTTCTTGTCTCAATTTGTCGAAAGTTCCGCGAAGTTCGTCTCCTGGACTGCTTTCTCCAGTTCTGTAATTGAGAAGCTTTTCCATAAAATCTCTATCTGAAAGATCATTGCCAGCCAGAACAAACCTTTGGGATTAAAAGAAGCATTATTGTAAATCTAAACATCAATAACTAATGTTTTAATTTTTGTTCAAAGCTATGCTAAAAGTGCCGTTGATCGTGATCCGTCTACATTCGACCAAGTATTAGTGGTGTACAGTACAACTGTTAACAGGGGAACAGAAAAGTTGTTTCTAAACTACAGGATATGTGTTGTTGTTGTTATTGTTGTTGTTTTTTAGAATGCAGTGAAACCTGTATTAGACGGACAACCACGGGACCTTCGCTAGTGAAAATCGATGTCTGTGATTATCAGATATCACATGTTCATTTGCTTTAGACAGTTAGAACCGCGCCCTATTTTCCTTTAAGATCGTCGAGAGCGATTAATGCTACAGGCGGCCATTTTGACGGAGTCCAGCTTATGACTATTTCAACTAATTAGGGAGGAGGGGATAATTTGGGAAGAGGAGAGAATTTTATTTTTCGCCCCTCGCTCTTCCCACCGCTATAAAACCCGACGCCCTCCCCTCGGTACATTTGAAACCAATTACAAAATGGCTACCAGTGACGGTGAGCGCTTGATCTCGACGATCACAAGGAAAAATTGGGGACTGTGAACAGTCTAAATTTGCTTTAGGTCAAAACAAAAATGCATCCTTTGGCAACACCAAAAGTTTTAACAGCTCCTCTTTATTTTACATTCCATGGTGGGAGTATTGAGTTTGAGAAAGTAACGAGATTTGTGCATTTAAATTTTGTAAAGTTGAATAGCACTACACGACCAAGAAAACGTGATGTCTTTGTAGATGTATAATCAGACGTACTAGACAAACGTCCTTGCATATTTACCCTTTCACTGTAGTGTGTCTGTCTGGCTATATTTGCATGAAAATGTCCAACAACCGTTCCTCCTTTTACAATGGATGGTGGTTGAATTGATTTCGAGGATAAAATAATGATTGATGAACTTTCAAGTTTTGTAAAGTTGGATAGCACTGAAAGCCCAAAAAACAGCTGTCTATGTACATACCATTACACAGTAGACAAATTTGCTGCATTCTCACCTTTTAACCATAGTATTACGGTTTGGCTTTATTTCCATGTTGCTGTCATGTGCATGTCGCAGAACAAACCTCGGGTAGGACTTTAAAAGCTTTTCCACAATTAACGTTTGATCTATTAAAGATCGCAAAGATGCTGTCCTTTTTATTGAATCTATGTCACCAACTGCCAAACCAACCTACAAAACATGAAACAAAATTCAGTATTTCCAAGGCGATGATGATAGTAATACGTACTTAAGTGAGCTTTTATTGGGCTTTTTAAAATACAAAAAGTATGCACATTAGAGACACACTATTAAGCCCACTTCAAATCATGCAAGGAGTACCGCAGGGCTCTATTCTTGGACGTTTTCTAACAAAGACTACAAATTTAAGTACCCTAGTCTCAGAACTCTTTGCATGAATAGTACTTTAAAAATATTGTAACACTCCCTCTGCTTTCAAACCAAAAAGGCTGTTGATTTCGTGATTCCAAGTAAAGCACATGTTATCCAATTTTGACTTTTAACCAGCTTTTTGTGAGTGTTGTTAAGATGTTTGGCCTGATATCATACAGAAATGGAAGCGTTGAAACTTGAAGATTTCGACGCACATCAGCGTTGTCTCAGCTCAATTATATGACATGTTGCGACCTCACATGGCTGGAAACTGCTTCATAAATTCAAAAAAGGGCAATTTGAAATCCGCGATTTGGATATTCGCCACTTGCCAGAAAAACTGCCAAAATGGGTTCAAGATTTATGCGAGACAATAAAAAGGTGGGGTGACGGGGACGTGACCAAAACTCGTCACAAGAAGGATTGTACTTAAACTTAAAAAAAAAAAAGAAAAAGAAACGAACAAACAAATTGTTCACGCCGAATTCCAAATGTATTACCGTTTCTATTTTTTTTTTTCATTGTCCGAACACCCGTCGGGTCACCCGTCATAACAACTCTACCCCACTTGTTGACACCCGAACCGTATCCAGATTGTCACGTAAGAATATCATCGGTACAAAGAGTCTCGATTAGAGTTGCCCTTCTTGACAAACGTAGTTTCGCTGTACCTACCAGCAGGTTGACCAGTACAACAGAGACTGTCAAGACAAAAAGGAAGAACAGTCCAATGGTGATCATAGGCAACGGTACCGTGGCTTCATTGGACCAGTCGACCACCAAAATATCAGTATAGTCTAGTTCACCAATCATCATGACAAGGATTTTTCCCATGGCAAACAAAAAGGTCGAGAAATTACCCTGCAAGGTGACAAAAGAGATAATTCGTCGTTAATAAGGTACTTTGTCAGATATCACCTCTATTCTAGGATAAAGGGTCCAATGCCAAGTACGCTTTAGGGGGCGGAGCTAGGAATGTTCCAGAGATGCGCACATTTAACAGGTCAACCCTACCCAGTTTTTTCAGTTGACATTTGTTCAGCTTCGTCCGTGCGAACAGCCGTACAGGTAGCGAAGCCCCCGCGGTTAATACAACTGGTAGAAATCTGGCCTGCAGAGCGGGAGGTCTCGTCTCCGATGCCAATCGCTCTGGGTCTTGAAACAGCACGGAAGACGGCCCTTCACGTCGATCGGATGACTCGCTCAATAGGACAATTGCACGATGACGCCATTGTATTACAACTACCAGAATGCTTCAGTTTGTTGTTTTCTTGTGCAAAAAAGGCTTTCTTTTTTTTAACCTCAGCGGGATTGATCAATTTATAAGACAGAAAAAAAAGAAATAGATTCTGGTAGTTCTAGTCATATGTCGTCTTCGTGAAAATGGCCTGCTCTCGATCTTATCTCCAGCAGGGGACGTTAAATTTGTCTTAACTGAATAACTCGATCGACAGTTATTTCCTTTGTCGAAACCAATGCATTTGAATGAGGTGGACCTAAATACATCTGCACGTGCCCTTAATGACAGTGAGACTAGTACCCAGTAGGGCTCTATACGCATTGGTTAAAGTGAACGAATGGCGCATGCCAGCTTAGTCAAGTTGGCTTATAACAAAGTGGAAAAAATTAAGAGGGTTAAAAAAGATCATGTGAAATAGTCCCAGCACCAGGAAGCAAGCATAAGTGCGCTATGCAAAAAAATGTGACTTATCTTCCACGAGTGTTCGAAGGGAGACAGATAGTCATTTGGCACCTCATGCAGTTACGGTATTAGGGAGCTTAAGCAAAGGCGATAGTCAATCGGAAGTGAGGCGTTTTCCCTGTTACCAGTATCTCTAAAGAAGGGGCAACAATTACGTTCGATCTTTCCAGTACAGTTCTTACCTGGCCTTTCAGTAACACGTAAAACACCAAGCAGTAACCAATTAAAGTGATGAGAAAGGAGGTTATTACTTTAATAAAAGTCCAGAGCACTTCAATGTACATTGTCACGTATAAACCAAGTTCGCCGAATCGACGGATAGCTAATGTCAAATTGACGTAGCATAGCAGCAGAGCAACAATCCCTGAATTCCACTGTACTGTTTCACTGTATACAGCCTTGACATTCTCACCACATATGAATGGAAGGATAAAAATCAACGCCAATACAAACATTACCGTCTCCATCCAGTTTGAGAGGTCCAGGAAGTAGGCCAATCGCATCAAAGCAAGTTGAATCGTTTCCTTTATAAATTGGGAAAGCAACAAAACAAGAAGTACGATAGGAGTTGCTATTCCTATCTCGGATGTTTGATTTAGTTCTTCAGCCTTTTTCCCGGACAGCAATGTACTTCTAGATCTTGCGGTTAAAATGAAAATAGAGTAGAGAATGACAAAAACGGCGAAAAAAACAAGATTAAAAATAGTAACAAACTTTCCAAGTTTCATCCACTTCACACGAAGTAACACTTGTGTAACAAGATGATTCAACAGTCTTTCTCGCTTATGTTTGGCCATGATTGCAGGCGGGAAGTCAGTATATTTATAACAATACGTGTAGGGATCAATATATCTCATGTTGAACTTGACAGTAAAGTCCTCGTGCGATGGGGGCAAAGGACTGTAGGTGACACATTGATCAAGAACAATTTCTGCAACATCTGGGAGCTTTTCTATTAACTTCTTAAATGCAGAACCTTCGAGTACCTCCTCCCACCTAGAATGAGAAAATTTCACATTAGTTTTACTACTAGTGAAACTTCTCATGAAAGTGTGGTCAATGCTATAAGTAATATATCAAGCATGAAGACTCGGTGTTTCATCTGTTGAGAGAAGAGTTGAAAAATAAGACGCGCAGCGGAGTATTTCTGACGAACTTTGAGATGATTGATCTGGTGATGAAACACTTTGTCGAATACTCGATATTACTTCTCAAACAAAATGATTTTAGAAGGAGAAATCAAGGATGCAAAAATGACAAGTTTTCATCTGATTTCCAAACACTCATTAAACATTAATTTCTTTTGTATTTCTTGATAAATTATTAATGAGTTTGAGAACTTTAGCTCTAAATTATTTCCTTCATTTAACTTGGAAATGATTTTTAAACATTTTCGGGAAAGGAGAGTAGATCTGATAGGCCGAAGATGGGGCAAAAACCTGAAGACTGAAAGAAAATTGCAAAAATAGACAAGAAGAATAAGCCCGCATCATTCTAGCAACTTTGCCCTGTATGGACTCAGTAAAACCGAGAACCCAGGCTATAATTTACTTATAAACTGGAGGCGCGATCTCATCCTACGTCCTTATCTCGAACAATTAATGATGCTCTGTGACAACGAGCTTTCATGTCTTTTCCAGATATGGCAAAAAAGTTTCGTTTTCTTGATAACATGCGAAGTAGGCCATGAATCAAAGAGATGTCATCTTGGCTCTTTCTTTCTGGATGTAGCTTTAAAAAGCTGGCCGGGAGGCGGCGGCGGGTGGTCAAGACACATAAAATTGATATAATTCTTTAAAAATTTACAACAAGAAAGTTTGATACTTTTCGTTTCAGCATCAATGAACGGCCAAAGCCTGCAGATACTGGGAACCGCTTGGTGGCCGAACTCAGTCCCCTCGGATTTCTTTGGGGGGGGGGGAGCTGGGGGTGGGAGGGGGCGTTCAAAACAACCAGAAGATTCTTGGTAGTACCTGCGTATCCCGGCCGCGTAGTTCTGCGGCTGCGGTTTTTAAGGTTCGGAAACTCGGCATGGGATGTTTGGGGGTTAATTATTGGTCCAGGGATATTTTGGGGTTTTGTTGGAAGCCATACGGATTTTTCTGGGTTTTGATTTTCGCCCCCTTCGGTCATCCCCGTCACTTGAAATCCGGAATACCCTCTTCCCCCCTGGGGTTGGATATGAGAGATGTCTCTAACAGAGTTCTCTTAAAACGTACCTTTGATGTTTCACAAGTGTCTTTGCTACATCCTCGGCTTCCCACTCGATCGCTACATCTACACAGGTCATATTTCTCTCATTTCTGACTGTGACGTCGGCACCTCTGTCTAAAAGAAACTGCAGCACATCAAGGCGGTTGTATCTGCATGCGAGATGAAGAGGAGTGTTTCCATCACTGTCCTTCTCTTCCAGTGTACTCGGCAAGAAGGGATTCATTAAAACAACGACTGTCTCTAAGGATCCCACCGTCACAGCCAAGTGAAGGGGCGTCACATTGTTCATGCATTTAGCTGAGACATCCGCACCCTTTGAAATCAGGAATTCACACGTCTTTCTGGAATCAAAATTTTTCAACAGGAAAAACACAATAAAAAAGATTAAAAATATGTTCATCAGCCAAGGCTTAAGGTACACTTCGGCCGTTACTTCTTTCATAGGCAGGGATGGGGGAGTGCTGGCTAAGAAATCAGTTTTGGTGGAATCTCTTGCCCAAAGGGAAAATATAAGAGAAAATGACAGTTTGAGGGGGAGATCCCAAGGTGGGGGGGGGGACCAGTTACGTTATATCCCTAAGGCGTTATAGAAACGTCCAGGAAAACCTCCGGGGTTAAGTACAGGATTATATGATTTTTTTGGTTTGAAAGCACCTTTGAATCGGAGTTAACCAGTCTCCCTGACACCTGCCCTGAGACCTTTATGGGGAAACCAAACCATAACAAGTTCAAGAGGTCACCTATTGATATCAATGGTCAGCCAGAAGCGCATAGAATTTTTGTAACAAAAGATTACTTTGTTTCACTCGTTACAAATTCAAATTTAAAAAAAACAATGTTTGTAAACAGTGTACACGCAGTCTCCTGCCGGATGTATGGATTTGCCAACTAGTTACAAATCACAACAAGTTAGGTAACAAATGCTAACTCCAAAGTTCCCCTCTTCTCTGCGCTCAGTGTCTTCCCTGTAACCCAGAGAGCATGTGCAGGAAAAACGCAAAGTATTGCATAGATTTTGGGTACTTGTTTCTTCATAACTTACGCGTGTTTATTGTTGGCGGCGAAATGAAGAGCTGTCATTCCACGAGCTTCCCTTTGATCTACATAACTTGCAAATAATGGGTATTTGGCGAGCGTCACCACACAATCTAGTGAACCATTCTCAGCTGCGATGTGAATGGGTATCTTCTCCTGCATGTCACGCCCTCTTACATACACTTTATTTTGCAGAAGAATTGTCAACATCTTAAAAAAGAAAAAACGAGACCGAGAAGTACGCAATTAAAAAAACAAACGCGTAAAAAACGCTGTTTTTGTTTTATTATTTTTGATGAGGTTCGTGCCCAATGCAAAATAAATACCGTAATCCCCTACCCTGGTGACTTATTTATTTCCAGCACATTTTAGAGGGGTAGGGGGCTCAACAGAGAGGGAGGATTAGGCCATTTCCGATTTTCCCCTGGCCTCTGTTTCAAAACGAGGGTAGGTGCTCAGCCTTTGATATGGAAATCATTTTTCATTCTCGTGCAAATAAAACTCATTTTCACAAGAAGTGAGGCTTTTGGGAACTCGGAAGTGGCCTATTTAATTCAAGTGCCGCGTTACCGATGGCAAAAACAAGGGAGGAGAAACGCTTAGACAATAGTTACCTAACGGTTCCATACCTCATGTTCTGGACCAGGGCAATGACTGTAAATTATGGAGATTAATGTGTGGTATTCTATGGTATAAGTAATTTTCAACATTTTTCTTCACTTGTAGAACCCTTAACCTTGCTTTCTAAACGGTAAAATGATAACCTATACCCTCGTCCCAATTAATATACCATAAATAAATTGATGACAAAGTTAACGAAATAATAACAGAAGAATACCTCAGAATCGTCCTGTCCACAGGCAAGGTGAAGCACATTCCTCTTATCTTTGTCCTTCATTTGTACTAAAACTCGATCTTTGTCCACTTCTATCAATGATTTCAACATTTCAGGCTTTTTGCAGGTAATAGCCAAATGAACAGCACTATTTAATGAAAAGTCAGTTGCAAAAATGTCCGCTCCATGGTCTACCAACATCTTGGCAGATTCCACAGCTCCACGCGTCACAGCCATTAGAAAAGGCGTCATCTCCAAAATGTCCTTCGCTTCTAAGTCAGCTCCGCGCTCGATCAAAAACTTTACTATTTGACTGTGATTAAACTCTGCTGCACTAGAAATGAAATAAAAGGGTTAAAAGCCTGCTATGACGCGTGTGTGTTATCCACTGAAAAAAAAAATTCCTATCGAGTAAATTTGCATCTAAAAAGTTGAATATGGTCATTGTAAAAATGATACCCGTTAGCTGCGTAACCCCAAAAGTATGGAAATATGGTTTTCCATATAAGCTCATATTCACCCGAGAAAACTTCCGCTCATCCGTCCGCATCACGGAGGAAGGCCAGTCCACATTGTAGCTAGTGTGGGCGCCTGTGGGTAGGAGGCAGGCGATGGAAGTCCAGGGTGTAAATATAAGACTCTTAACTCGATGCAAGATTTTTGCTCGTTCCAGGTCTATTTGCGAATATTTTTTCCCAAACTCACCCAGCTCTTCTTACAAAAGGGAAATGGTAAACCTTAAAATTTAAGAAAGGATTTCTTTGCCATGTTTTGAAGTTAATTGTTTGAAATCTATTATGAGTGTCTTTAAGGGAGCTTCGCTTTTATCAGTGTCTAATCTACATACTGAATCAATTTAATGACAAAATAATAATAATAATAATAATAATAATAATAATAAAGTTAGTAATACAATAGTGGGACATTCTTCCATACGTTTACATAAGCATTACTCCTATCAAAAGACGCTTTTCTTAACTACTTTTGAGGATAATTTAAAACTCTCATTTCCGCAATAACACAAAAAATAAATCCCAACCCACCATACCTATGTAGCGGCGTCCTTAGTTTGCCATCTCTGTTGCCAGTAACTGCATTATACAGCATAAGTAGCTCTACCATTGACAAGTGGCCGTGTTTTGCCGCCAAATGGAGCGGTGAAGCAGATGCTGTAAAATTAACAGCGTCACGATCCGCGCCGTGTCGTAGTAAAAGTTCTCCCACTCCCAGGTGGCCTCCGATGCAGGCGTAGTGAAGAGGAGTGTTGCCTTCTGCGTTTTTTGAATTCACAAATCCACCAAGGTCTTGCAGCTTTTTGGATGCTGTTTGAACAAAAAAATTTAAGGCACTTGGTTTCATGTCATCATTATCAAAAGCTAAGAAATTAACATGATAAGTGGATATATGTATCGACCTTTTTCACAGAGACCAAAATGCGCCTTGCTTGCTTCCCCTCCCCTAACCACCACAACCAATTTTGCATATGAAATATTGTCTGGGATTTCTCTTGGGACGTCGACATACCTTGCAACAGAGGTTAAGTAAAATTTTGGGGGTAAACATGGTTCATTATGGTCTCGGTGATAATGATCAATGAACAGAAAAAGGAAGTGCGAAAAGTGTTGTAAATTTAAGCCTGAAAATGGAAAAATGGCAATTAAATTAACAGTTTCCTAAGGATGGGGCCCGCTTGATTGTTGGGCAAATATAAGCACCAATACATCATATTTCCCATTTATTCACCGGAGCTCAGTTGTTCGAAGGACGATTAGCACCAACTCAAAAGCGTTTTCTCGGATAATTTTTAGGCTATTTCAGTCTAGAACAGCCAATCTTGAATTATACTCATTATAACTTTTAACTTATCAAACATTTCACTATCCCTAGGTTATTCTTAACCCATCTTTTTAACCGTTACCAATTTTCATTTTTTCATAGGTTATATTACCTGTTTCAATGAATAGTTCACACACGTCTTCATGTCCCTGAAAAGCTGCAATTTGTAGAGGAGTGCTTCCCCCAAATACCGTGCGGGTGAAATCGGCTCCATACCTTAAAAGCAACTCACAAACTTCTCGCCTTCCCTCATAACAGGCTAGAAGCAAGGGCTTTAAATTTCCTTGGTCTAAGTAATTTTTCACCCTTTGGTCTTCAAGAAGAAGAACGCATATCTCCACGAGGCTGGTACGTACAGCTGAATCCAGTGGTGACGTTTGAATTTCGGTCGCTATAAGTGGGTCCGCTCCCCTTTCAAGCAGAAGCTTGATCATCTCTGTTCTTTCGAACCTTAAATAAATCAAATATTTGCGAAAGTACGATGAGAATCAAATGAAATTTCTGAATATTTTCCTCATCTAGTCTGTAACAGCAGTAGGCAGCAAAAATATAAATCAAACCGAAGAGTGCGAAGAAGTAGACAAGGCACACTGCAAAGGCTGGTTTTTCTGTTTATATTTGGCTAAAAACAGTTTCAATTTTTGAGTCCAATGCTCGTTTCAGTAGTTCTTATAGGAGTTGTGTCATGTTTTTGGGATATTTTTAAAATTCTAAAAAAATTGGAACCAAGGAAGACAGTGTATTTTTTTTGACCAGGATAAAAACGGATTCCAAAAATAGGGCCATTCTGAAACAAAACCCATTCCTGAAGGAAAGACAAAGTTATTCACATGAACAGCCCTTAGTCTGGAGACACAATTTTACTCCCACGTAACTAAGAGGAGAGCAGAAAGGCACAAACGCAGAGAGCGACGACGATGAAATAAGTATCTAGGTGATTGCTAAGGGGGCATCTAGGAATTTTTCAGAACTCACAGTTTTGCTAAGCCAACATACCCGCGGCGTTTCCTTAATCGTTAACCTTGCGAGAGATTTTAAAAAATTTTCTTTTTTATCGGTTGGCTGAGGTCAATTAATTATCTTTCTCTGTCTAAGGACAATATGAAAAAGTGAAGGAAAACACTATTTCTTAAAGCAGTCGTTGAAGCGGAGATAGATAAGAGAATGTCCTTTTCCAGTTGTTGCTTGCTCCCCCTTTTTATTTTAATTATTTAATTGCAGATACCTTACAGCAGTATGAATTGGCGTGAAACCATCTTTGTCCTTCAAGTCAATATCCGCCCCATAATCCAGCATATTTTTGACATCCTGGATATTATTAACACGAACAGCTCGATGAAGAGCAGATAGTCCATCGCGGTCAATCGTGTTTAAATTATCCGCCATTTCTTCTAAGGCACCATTTGCAAAGTAAAGGGGCAAGCCAGATTTGACTGGTTCAAAGGCTTGAACATCGTGGTCATCAATTGGATGAATAGGTTTCTGACTTGATTTGGTGCCTCCTGGGTTCGAAATGAGTTCGAGCGAGTCACCGTAAATCAATGGCCGCACTTTCGACAGAGAGGTATTGCTACGTTGTGTACCCCCAGAGGAGGGTTTGGGACTACCTGATGAATGAAAAAACATGGCAAAGACGTTATAGGGTGTACGTGTATGTACTTTTGCGTGAATGATGGAAGTTGCAAGACCTGAATCTTCAGTTCCCATTGTTCCGCTTTAGTGAACCTCCGATGATCATTAATGTCCAAAACGGTCCCCCTCTTGTATAAACCACCGGTTTTTCTTAATATATTACATATTATACACGTATATATAACTTTGTGTGTGTGTCTACTTTCATTCGAAACCTTCACATTTTTTCATTACAATTTTTACAATGTAAACACTGAAGAGAGACACTCAAGGCAGATGAAGCAGGGCACCTGTCTACTTAGGAATTAGATAATACATCCCTGACAATAGTTTACCATTTTTCTAGCGTAATTAAGTGCCATGTCATAAACATAAAAGTATTCCTTATCACTGCGTTCATAACATGTCATTTTTGGACAACGTTATTATAGACATAAAGTATGAACGAGACATACATATTGTTGTGGACTATTTTGAACGAGTATACCAAGGGAAGTACTTCTAGACGAAAAGAATTAATCATATCCAATTAATAATTTGTATACATATTTTTTCCTTCTCGGTGACTGAATAATCAAAACATTATATATTACGTAAATTTTGCCCAAATCATAAATCGTGGAGCTAGTTTCCTAAATTATAAAATTGTCTATCAAGTTTGAATATAAAAAAGAAAATTTAATATTAACAGAACCGGGTAAAACATCGGTCATTTGGCCTTGTTTATTGTCCGGACTGGTAGAAAACTATACTACAAATTGCCATATATGTAAGGAATCCGGATTCCGGGTTCCGGATCATCCGGAAAACTTTTCCTTGTGGAATCCGGAATCCTACTAACGATTGGAATCCCAAATTCCACTCACAAAGACTGGAATCCAGTACTTGGAATCCGGAATCCACGGCGTGGAATCAAGAATCCAAGACTGTCTTGGATTCCCTTACATGGGAAAAAAACGCAGATGCATTGCTTGTTTTATGCCTTTCCTGCTACGACACTGTCGTCTAAAGCAGCAGCCGTCTAAAGTTAATGCATATATTGATCCAACACTCAAAGATCCAGACTACTTACAGAATAGTGAGACTGATTTACTTTAACAAATCGTGATTAACAGCCTGTGCAGTCTGTGTGTAAACACGTTCTGTTTCCAAATAGTCGTCTCCACAAAGGCTATCTTGACACCATAACCCGCCTCCCCGCTCCCACCCCAAAACCTCTGCAAATTATAGAGAAATGACTTATATTGTGCGGAAATTACAAATGACGTGATAAGCACACGAGTCACCAAGAAACTGGCTTATTTTTTCGCGCCTAAGCATCAAGTAAGGGTCAAATCTACAACATTTAGGAATTCTTGCCATAAAAATTGATGTCCTTATTCAGTGTATTGTTTTGACTGCTGATCGACATTCTTAGGCTATGTTTGTTGCTATTTTGACTTTACTTTTCAGTAGCTTTCAGCCGTTAAGGTGACATGCAGAGTAATTATCCCTAGTATGATTAAGTAATTACGTCATGTGGCTTAACAGTCAGAGTATAGTAATTGAATGGGTAGAAATATCAAACATCAAATAACCAGGGCTCAAGAAAGGTAACTGGAATGTATCGGGAAATAAACACGTTCATTTTACTTCAATTAAGAAATCACCTTTAAGCTTCATCCCTACGGAAAAAAGGTCAAAGTATTGAATCTTTGAATTAATATTAATATTGTCGCATCTTTCAACTTTGAAAAGCAATCAGCGATCATCCCATATGGCTGGTACGTGAGCGTCCACGACTATTAGTTTAATCTGAGGAGCAGAAATTTGGTGTGCTCGGAGTTCAAGACAGTTGTTTTAGGCAGTTTTAGTCTTGGACTATCGGTATATTTGATCACGATTCAGTCGCTGTCAAGTCAATCGAGTGACTGAACTGGCCACTCGGACGTATAAAGTTCGAATCATCGATAATTTAAATATGTACGATTAACCTAAGTAAAATGACAAACCTTTGCCATTCTTGTCAACAACAGAGCGATATGCGGACATCAAGCTGCTCATGGCGTCTCAACCTAACACGAGTTCAGTATTCATCTTCTGATCTACACCGGATCACACTTACGCTGATTTTGCGTGACATGACAAATTCCAATCTTTTTCATGTAATTGTTATAGCCAATCACGTGTCTTATAATTAAAATTGTCAACAGAGCAATAATAAATAGATCAATGAGAAAACTATTACTAAACCATTTAAGAACCGACTTTTTGCCATTTAAAAAATAATAATAATGGCATTCGCAGTTATAACCTATACTTTTATGAAGGATAACATAATATTTTCAAGCGCCAAAATCAAGTCTGTCATGGTCGAATATCTGCATGACATCAAGGTTTTAAAGTTTTGAAAAGTCTTTAACTAAAGGAAATAAGATAGGTTCGAGAAGTTACTTGGGCTTTGCCACGAGGATAGTACTGTTTTTGGTCAATTCTGAGCTGAAGTCACCACTTGGTGCCTCTACACTTTCACAAAAAGCTCCTATAGAGTTATGAAGAAAATGAAATATAACATTTTTTTAGTGCTTTCTCAGGCATAGCCATCAAACTTGAATATTCAAGTTTGCCCAATTTTTTCAAGTTTCAATCCGTGTCCATCATTGTCCTCCTTAGCAACAGACGAGGAAACTGGGAGACATAACGACTGTGTTCTGCAAAATATCTGTTCGGAAAAGTGAATATTGCCTAGAATGATCTATTACTTAAATATGGCTAAAAATTTCTAGATGAGCGTTCTATTCAGGTACAATTTTCGAGGCTTATCTAAAAAATTCCCTACGATTTTCTGAAGCTTAATTTTTCACATTTTACTCCCCATGTTAGGCTAATTTTCGTAGAAAAATGAAACCTAAAATTTTCGGATTCAAAAATGTGATAAAGAGAGGAATAAGAAAATCTCGCACCTTCGTAAAACGTTCAATTGTATCTAAAATTTTCGGGCAAATAACACTGCAGCCCGGCCTTGTCATTTCCTAAAGCCTCAAATTCCCTCGGATGACCGAGCAGGTACATATTTTATAGCCCGCTTAGAATGCATTTCTAGAGATCTAAGCTTCAAAAGACTTTTCAATGCATTTAGGAGGAAACTGTCGTTGGGTCCCCCAAGGAAACTGTTTAGTTAATAGCTAAATAGTTTCGTAAATAACAAACCCTGAAAACTGGCTCAATGGTTTTGAAATATATTGATTCGAGGAAACGTTTCAACTTTTTTTTTATTAAAAAGCTAACAAATTGCGTGACGTAGCTCCTTCATTCTAATCGTTTCTCAGATTGGTTACTTGGGTTGCATGTTTTGTTCCACGGCTTTGACTGAGATAAAGCATACAATATTTGGATTAGATTTATTAATTAGCTAATTTATTTGCCCTTCGTAGAGTTTTATTAATAGACTTTTGGACAGGTGACAGGTGATAAAATACATTCAGTTTCTTATGTCAAGCTTTTATGCTCATTAAAAATCGTTTAATATGCAGGAATTATAACTTACCTGAGACGCAACTATAACACACACGACTCAACTTCGTTTTTTCAGTTTATTTATTTCGGAATTAATAACTCAACAATATATTAGCTGTATCCAAGTTTTCTCAATTTGGGTAGTAGCCTTGTTGATAATCTCTTTGCTATATTCAAGCAAAGCGTTCCCTCCCATTGCCTCTCCCACGTACTCCGATGCTCGTCGTTTTCAGCGAACCGTCTTGCGCGCTACTTTCTCTATTTATGTAAGCTCTGAAAACCAATTTTTTTGGTTTCCATTTCAAAACCTGGAAAAATTTGCCTTTTTTATATATATATATATCACATATTTAGTGTAGAGATACAAAAATAAATATACTTAAATATAACATACAAGCGCCAGTTTCAAACAGCATTTAAAAGACGCTTTCGCCCCATGCAAGGTACTCCGCATTCCATGCCGTGGATTCCAGTCTTCGTCAATGGAACTTGGATTCCGGATTCCTGGAGCTTTATTCCGGATTCCAAAGTCAAAGATTCCGAATTCCAGAAGCAAAATTTCCGCAGCTTCCAGATTTCACAGGCAAAATATTTTCAGGATTCAGGAATCTGGATTCCTTTGTATGGGGAGAAATCCTTAGTGCTTGTAATTCTCTTGTTCTTTGTCTTTAAAAAAATATTGCCTCTTTGTTAAACGGATATGGCATCTTTCGTTAAGCACAGAAGAATTCTTGTCGTTTCCCTTTCAACATATCACTTACGTAGTGAAGTCAGGTACTGAATTTTAAAGGGGTATGCACGTCACCTTTGATGATGACTGATTCACTTGAGGTTCATCACATCTCTTAATGATTATAACAACGATACGACGACGAGAATTTTGATGATGCCGCAGTATCAATACACAAATCTGTACACTATCTTATCGACACTAAAAATAGAAACTGTTTGAATTTCGATATTCCAATTTGGGAATCCATCTGTACAACGCCGCGAATGATACCTAGAGTGAAAATGATTCTCTACCCCAAATGAACCTATTTCCCTGAGTTTCCTCCAACTCGGATCTGGTAGGAGAGAACCCCAGGGGTCAATTTAACAAACCTTCACAAATGCAATGTACAAGTGTAGCTATTGTTTTCAGACTCTAAAACAATGGCTACACTTGTAAATTACACACGTAAAAGTTTTATAAAATTGACCCAGGAATGAGGTTACGAACGCCAGTGATCTGGAATATCAACTAGTAGGGGAGCTCAAGTCCCAAAGTATTTTTGTAATATAATTCCAAATTTAAATAAAGTTGAAGTTGAAGTTGATATCGTGAACTGCGGGAATGAGGAATGGTTTGTGAAAGGATAAGGGATAAGAGCTAGAAACAGAGCCTCCCTATTTACAGAACATTGTCGAGTGCCCTCCCCCGCCCCACCAATTATGACTCCACTTTATTTTCCAATGTCCAATTTATCAGCTATTGCTCTAAGCAATTCAGTTTGAGCATCGACTGCAGCCTGTAAATCCTTGATGCTTTCCTCTTGTCTTTCTAATCGTTGTTGGAAGTCATTAGTCTCTTTCTCGTTGTCTCCCGAGTCGGACTGTTGCTTTCGCAGCGTGTTCGTGAAGTCACTATCAACGAGACCAGACCCTGAAAGGGCTAAGCTGAAGGAAAAACAAAATTGATGAACAGCGTCAGAATAATATAGGAGGACTGGTATACCCCAGTCTACTGGATTGTGTATTGTTAAGAGAAAGAAAAGACATGCCCTAGCTATACAAACTTTTCCTTTAGCATGCAGACTTACGCATAAATCAGAAGATGAAAATTAGTTTTATCAGTTAGTATTGAGGTTAATTAGCCATAGTAAAGATACTCAAAAGCAGAATCCTATTAAGAAAAGAGCTGGATTTCGATTTTTACCGTGACCAATTTGTCGTATTAACCTACGTAACTGATAAAACTAATCTTCGCAGACAAGTAACCACGCTCGTTTAATTATATAACAGGAATAAAAAAATGTTAAAGCAGCCTTGAGAAAATATTAGAAACAAAATATAAGAGCGGGAGTCCTGATTAGTAGGGGGGCGGGTAGGGGACAACCAGTTGGCTATTCACAATCGAGCGCGACGAATTTAAAATGTGAAATATTAATACCCCAACTAGAAGAGAGCTCAAGCAACAAGAACGGCGACGACAGCGAAAACGTCACTTAAAAGGAGCATTGGCGCTGTCTCAAACTTCTTCGCTGTTATTCTACCTCGTTCAATTTGTCCAAATGTTGGCGAATTTTTCTGGAGATAAATTCTAAAGATCTGTAGCTACGTTGGACAAAGCAAAAAGTTATCTTGCGTTCACATAGTCCGTAAAACGTGAATTTGTAAAGTTTCACGTCGTAGTCGTGCAACGATAGCAAAGAAATTTACAGTCAAAATCACGTGATACACTTTCACTCAACTAAAACAGAGATTGCGATTGGTTGATTCTTGGTCACGTGGCCTTGACTAAATCAAATGCATCCCGATCGTGATACATTAAGTAATGTAGCCCGCTCGGGCTACATTACAGCACGTGATCAAAGCATGGTGGAAAGTTGCGTGACAAAAGGCGGGAAAAACACTGCCAGGTCCTGCCAGTTTTCTTTTTGGTGAATGAACACAACAACACAAAACCTCAAGCTAAAACGCAACGATTTTTACAGTTATCCAAGAAGTTACCAGAAGAAAAACAGCAGCTAGTAGAGGAAAATGATACAGATAATATAACGAAGGTACTTTGTAAATCATTCATCCAGTGGTTTTGAGAATTAAATTTGTGTTGTTATAAGTACCGAGTCGACTGTTTTGGTTCGGTCCGGTTATTCTTTTGTTACTGTTGAAGTGAAAGTCTAGACATATAACAAAACACTTAATGTCAGGTCAATCGGGAAACCAGTTAGTTTTGTTTTCCCTCGAGTCCTCTTGTTTCCCTCGACTTCGTCTATGGAAACATTAGGACTCTCGGGAAAACAAAACTAACTGTTTCCCTCGGGATCTGACATTAAGTGTATATCATCACTCGAAAGGCTCTCTACTACGATTCATATACTGTCGTTTTTTTGCCCAAGGAAAACTAACTTACCTGTGTAACAACTGATTCTGGTTTGGTTTTATTTCCAGCGAAGTTTTATAAGCCCGTCTCAGGACCCATTTGGGATATCTTCTCTGTATGCTATCTACTAACGAAGCTTGGTCCATCAAGTTTCGTAGAGTCGCTGTTTTTTGAATTGAGTCAATATCTCCAACCGCCAGACCAACCTAGGCAAAACAAGAAATAAGTTTCTCATTGCATGTTGGCTTGGTTTCTATTGTTCCTGAAAAATTCTTCTTACCAATTACACAATGTGCAACTATAATTCTTTATTAGAAAATTTAATTTTATTAGAAACTAGAAGTTTCAGTTACAAATAACAGCGACCTTTACCTTCATTAAATAACAACTATGGGATAGGAGGCAATGCCTATTTCGCTTTCGTAAACGGTCTCTGCCATTTTTAGCTTTAAGACTTTAGTCATGAGAGATGCAATATATTCCCTGAATTTGGTTACAAAAAGGCAAAAAACGCGTTTTCGAATAGTGTCAGAAAGAACGACGTTGGAGCCCAAGTTGAATTTTCGTTAAAATTTTCGAAAGGGACGGGGTCACCTGTTATTGGTGTAACACTTAAGAAGGACAGTTTGCTAGTGTATGTACTTAAATTTTTTGGAATTTTGGCGCGTCGGTGTGGTAGTGTAGTGGTAAGGGAGAGAGATTAGGATACGAAGAGTCCGGGTTAGAGGCCTGGTTTGACCCTAGGTCGCGATTTTCTTTCGATTTTTTCTTAGTTACAAAAAGGCAAAAAATACGTTTTCGAATAGTGTAAGAAAGAACGACGTTGGAGCCCAAGTTGAATTTTCGTTATAATTTACGAAAGGGCTAGGGTCACCTGTTGTTGATGTAACACTTAGGAAGGACAGTTTGCTAGTGTATTTACTTTTAAATTTTTTGGAAATTTGGCGGGTCAGTGTGGTAGTGTAGTGATAAGGGAGAGAGATTAGGATACGGAGGGTCCGAGTTCGAGGCCTGGTTTGACCCTAGCTCGCGATTTTCTTTCTTTTTCATAGAAACACTCTCAATAACAGGTCAAAAATTTCCTAAGACCCTGTTTACCCCGGTCTAGTGGGGTTGGCTTCTTTTGCTTCCACGCTCTGCGGGACACAAAACAAAAGAAACCCACCCCACTAGACCGGGGTCCCCCACTCCACGTAAACAGGGTCAAAGTGTCGTAAAAATGGCAGGGACAACTGCGGAGGCGATATAGGGCGTTTTCACTTACGTGGTCAGTAGCTTTGCAAGTAAATCGGAACAAACGAAAGTTGTTACATGAGAGAAAGGTTTAACTCCCACAGGAACACCAACATGACTGCCGTTTCACTGTTTTTGAACACTAATATGGCGGACGTGACGTCATGTGAAAACGCTTTAAAAGATGTGGTGGCATTAGAGAGCTGTAGATTCTGAGCCGAGTACGAGATTTTCTCAATATTAAATAGTGCTTGTGCGTGAACCAGCGTCATTTTGGCGGGAAAATATGATTGCTGTCGTCATTCCACTGCGAGTTTTAGCGAGAATGTAGTGGTAACGGAAACAAGTTTTAAAGTGTTAGAGATTTTATCATTTTGTGGCCGGGAGATGGCTTACGCTCCTTCAGTAAAGATAACAGTGCTAATTTTTTAGGTGAAAAATAAGTGTAATGAAGCTCTCCGGGGTGTCTATAATTGGAGAATACTCGAAAAAACTTTAAGTCAAATCCCGTACTCGTAGTCGTTCTCGTCCAAGGATCTGAAGGTCTCTATTGGATAGGATGAGATGACAAACGTGATCAAACTGAATGAAATGGAACAGAAAGGGTTGGAAGGTCGTGTGGTGTAGGAAGCATTGGAGGGAACACATGCTAATAGGATAAGGTGGCTAGAAGGGTGATAGTATGACAAGGACAAATAATCTTCATGAAAAGTAAGTAATTAAAAGCTACAATCATGACAAAAGTCTTTGCATTTGTGACGCTTTTTTTCAATTAACATATGCCTAACCCCTTGCCCCACCCCATAAACAACGTTGGACGCGTGTATCCAGAATTGTTTTTTACGAGTTTCAAAATTGTATAGGGTGGGGGGAGTTTCGAAAAGGATGCACTGTATTATAAAGGCAACCAGAAATTACAGAAAATAATGAATACTGCGTCACTGTCCCAAGGACTTTTTCCCGGGATAGTCGAATAACCCCCTTAATGAAAAAAAAAAAATTCCATCAGTATATCTCGTTCCATTGACACAAACGTCACTTACCAGTAGATTCATAAGGACAATGGACACTGCCAGCACAAACAGCACAAACATGACATAAGACAGCCCAGGAAGAGGTACATACAGGAAGTTAGTTCCCGGGACCTTGACATCGCCCACCACGTTACTAGTCAATACATCGGAGTAGTCCATTTCTCCAACCATCATAACGATAATTTTAACGAAGGAAAACCAGAATGTTGTGAAGTTTTCCTGTAAAAAAGAAAACAAGAAAATTTCAAATTACGAATGTTATTAATCAGTTTATACTACTACATGAGAAATTTCTGCAATTTGATTGGCTTAGAGCAGTGTTATTTCAGCTTAATTTGAAATACCTACATGTGAAAATTACAAACCTTTTGCATGTAGTAGTATAAACAAATAATAGCATGATTTGTACGTGATATTCGGCATAAATACCACTAGTGATATTTCAAAGTTGTCTCAAATTTCACGGCTCGTGAAATTACGTATAGAAATTTAGAAATATCACACGTGGTATTTATGCCAAATATCACTACAAATCATGCTATTACCTATACTAAAACTGTTGTTAGCCATGCACGTTACCTGACACATTTAATTAAAGTGCAACCAAAAAAATAGCAATGATTATGTTCACTCTGTTATACCAACACTACTTTACAGATTAAAAAAATCATATAACAATCCGTTTATTGGACTGTTACTGTGCCGGTCAAGCATCCGCAAGATAACAGTCACTAAGTCATGAACTGCGTTCTATAAAGCTAAACGACGAGACATGTCTTGGGGCAATAAAACTCTTACCTAAATCACAAAAATTCAACTAGCTGAAAGTAGAGCAAAAAGTGTCGGATACACCCAATCTGTAGCAAAGTGGGTACCAGACTGACTGCTTTTGCGGAAAATGAATACAATCTCAGCACTGCACTTCCATTTCATTCGCTTCTCTGTGGCAATCAAACCTTAAACAGTCAGTATCATCTTTTCAAGAAAAAATAAATAAACAACTTTCATACCCGAGAATTTGCAATAAACGTCTGTCAGTTAAAGGGTTGTGCTTTGACATCGCAGCAAAGATATTTGATACAACCAAACGCCTCAGTTTCCATTTTGGGATCTTTGGAAGCATTGATAGAATCATTAACCGATGGCGTTAACGTAAGTATTGTATGCAACTTCTACATTGTAGAGCCTAACTTTTGGGACGCTTCATAGGCTGATACTAATACTTAAAAAACAGAACAGTCCAGTTATATCCCAGGGTAAGGGAAAATTTCGGTTTGATCAGTTTGCAGAAAGAAAGGGGGAAAGACACTTTCAAACCTTAGCTCACCTCCTCTTTTAGTAGAACGTGAAAAACCAATGCAAAGCCAATAAGGACTGCAACGAAGATGGCGATTACCTTAAGAAATGTTACCAACACTTCAACGTACATGGTCACGTAAATTGCCACTGAACTCAAGCGACGAAGACTCAGACAAAAATTCACATAACATAGGAGAAGAGCAAGTACTCCAGCGGTCCAGTGTACTCGAACGTCCCCAAAAAGATCTTCTGTTGTCACGTAAGGCAATATGAAAATCATCGTGGTTACGTAAAGACACGAGTCCAGAACGTTCGTGTAATCTGTAAAGTACTCTAATTGTTGCAAAAACATCTGAATTATCTCAATCAGAATTCTGACTATTAAAAAAGTAAAAATCACAGCCGGGATTCCTTTGGAGTCGCCACTGGTCACATTCGTTGTAGCATTTATGTCACTCCCGGACAAATCCCTCACTTTGCTCCTCTGGTCAACAATAAAGAAAGAAAACAGGACGAGAAATACAAAGAAGATGGCGAAATTAAAGTAGTAGAGAAACTTTCCCAGAACAGCCCATTTCCATCGAAGAAGCACCTGTGTGACACTGTGATTCAAAAGGCTTTCTCTCCGGTAGTTCGCCATGGTAGCAGGAGCGAAAAAGTGGTGGCTACTTGATGATAAAGAAGTGGGTGGGTCGAGCGGGGAGAAGGTGAAGGTGACCGTAAAGTCAGTGTGCTCTGTGGGAAGGGTGGAGTAACTGATGCACTGATCCAAGACTACTTCTGCGACTTCTGGAAGCTTCATTATCAGCTTTTCCATTGGAGGAATTTTAGATGTGTGACCACAAACCACTTCTCTCCACCTACAGTAAAAAAATGATAATATTTTAGCTGTTACAGATCGAAGGTGTTCGGATATGATAATGATAACGAGAACGATAACCCGTCCAAAAGGGCTTAAATTGATAATAATAACGATAACCACAACGATTATGATAATGACAATGATAATAGTAATGATAATGATAAGGTTTATATTAAGCAGGCTTCATGCATGGATTTTGGTCAGTCCAAAACCATTAAAAATCAGGTTTTGCAGAACACAATAAAATTAATTGAAGAGCTCATCTGACAGGAGGATTTTTGCTATTAGTAAAATCCAACTAGTGGTCTATTATCAATGCTGCATTTTGATTGGTTGAGCTACTACTAGGCTATATGTTATAGCTCACTAGTAGCGAAAAAGCACCGGCAATTTGGCGGGAAAAAAGTGATTTAATTCTTCGTGCTTGCCTGAAAACGGCAAAAAAACCCGCACGTTCTTTCACAGTTTTAAAGTTTTTTGTCTCGATATTTTTTACCAGCTAGTTGGATTTTACTAAAACAATTATTCCTCTCGCCCTCATGGCCTCTGAGTCAACAGCCCATTCGGCCGAACTCAGAGCCCGTTCGGGCTCAAGGAATAATTGTTAATTAGCCCGCAGAACAGGCGCCATGTTTTTCGAGTGGTTTTTCAGACCGAGGGGGAGGAGCTTCGTGCTTGCCCGAAAACGGCAAAAAAACCCCGCACGTTCTTATAGCTATTTACGAGAATAACCGAGGATTTGAAATCGGAAAGACCAAAAAACAATTCCAGTTACTATTCCGAGCGGGATTCGAACCCGGGTCACACGTTACGCATCGTCACATTCACATTTACCTCTCGTGTTTAACAAGCGTCCTTGCAACTTCCACAGAGTCCCACTCGATTGCCATATCCAAACACGTCATATTATCTTTGTTAAGCGCCGTAACATCAGCACCTTTGTCTAACAAGAAATTCAGTAGATTGAGGCAATTTTGCATGCAAGCTAAGTGAAGTGGGGTGTTTTGGTCGGCGTCCGTTATTTCTAACGTATTAAACAGCATAGGATCTAGCAGACATTGAACAGTTTCCAGTGAGCCTGATTGCACTGCCAAGTGAAGAGGTGTTCGTTGATGATTATTTTGAGCGGCAATATCAGCCCCTTTGGATATCAGGAGCCGACAAGCCTCACTGAAAAGAAAAAACAAAAGAAAAGAAACAAAATTAAGACTCAACACTTCGCAACGCTAAGAATGATACATGCCATGCATAAAATTTCACGTCATATTTGATAAGCACTTCTGATTGGGAAACGGTCTTTCAATTTGCGAGGGTAAGCATTTTTGTCTGGACGAGTGCAAAAAATAGGTTTTTCTGTAATGCGTCTCAACAGGCTTTGTCTGAGGTTGTAGCTCATTCTCTCTTGGTATCGAGTGATGGGCTGTCTCGACTTCGCATCCGACCAAATAAAGAAGGTCTATCTACACCTCAGTGAATGGGTGACACATTTGCATATCAAAGCACCCACAATAGACTCCTCACCTGTGTTTATTCAATGCTGCGAGGTGTAGTGGAGTCATTGCAACCTCATCTCTGGCGTTTACAAGCTTTAGTAGGGAAGGGCATCTCAAAAGAGACTTAATGGATTCCAGTGATCCATTTTCTGCTGCATGATGTAGTGGTATCCTATCGTTTATATCCTTTTCTCCGGTTACAAAACTTGTCTTTAGAAGAATATCAAGAATCTGTCGAGGGGATGAAAAAGTTAACAAAAATCATTTACTACTACATCTTCCTATATCAGTCCTGTTATAGGACCTCAACGCTCAAGGAACCGACTCTGTTCGTGTGTATTGGACAAAACCCATCAAAATCCGCTTGGATCAGCCTTAATTCACCTGCCTTTACTTTAATACTCTACTAATTTTGCATTACAAAACGTGATAGGCCAATCTTCTTCTTCCATTTGTTAAACAATAAAAATAGAAGCGATGGAAATTGTTCGCAGTGCGCATGTTTTTGACTTAAAATTATTAAAGGAATTTTATTTGGTGTTTCGGATTTATTGCAAAATTTATTCGTTTCGGGAAATATCTATAGGTTAAGGGAAATAACATAAAAAAAACAATTGACTTATTTTACTTGGTGTTAACTCCTACGCATCAGCACTGATCAAACGACATCCTCTCTCGAAATGAGAAAATGATTTCTGTTAATTCATTCTCCTTGGTCTTGTGGAAGGAAACTGTTGATTGAAGAGTTACGTTAGCTACTTGTGGCAATTGCCACAATATATGTTTGTAGTAGAATTGTTGTAAGCGTTCTTGTTGATTGGTTTGAGTAAGCTACTTCATTACTAGTAGGTTTGGTTTTCTAAGTTAATTGATGATCGATAGAAAGTTTCTGCTGACATGAATTCGGTACCAAGCAGATGTACCAAATTGGTGCATCTCCGCGGTAACACTTCTGTTCATGAGATATGCTTAATTAGAGCCTTTAACAGATGACAAAGCCTTGTTTATATTAAGTATTTTGTCTAGTTTGACATTTTTGACCTTAATCTGGTCTTCCTTCGATATTTACCAGGAAATGACTACCCTCCTTGTTTTTAAGAGTTTTAAGCATGTTTCTTTGAGTTTTTAACCGAATTCTTGGCAGTGGATAACTTTCATTAGGCTTAGTGATTTTATAGGTGTTTTTGTAGCTAAACAACTATTGTTCTAAATTCTGCTTTGTACTTTGAACTGCATTTTTAATTTACCTTTTAAGTTGTGATCACGTTCGTGGTTAATTTATAGAAAAGTTGTAGCCAATCATCTTCGATGAAGAAGCTTAACACCTTCTGTAAATTGACAACAACCCTAGATTTTCAAACTGTAATTTTAGTACTTTCCTATCTGTTAATATGAAAAGTCTGTTTACTGGTATATACCTTGTAGTTTTTATATTGTTCTCCTAGTTTTATATTGGCCAGTTGACTTAAGCTTAGCAGTGAAAACTTAGGTTGAAGAGTCATTTCGACAAAGCAATTATCTCGAAGGTTTCATGCTAACGAAACTGTTTTAACCAATCGGATTAGACTTACGTCAGCATTCGGTTTGCGCTAAGCAGCTGGTTTCCTGGCTGACATAAAAATGCGTGTAACACTGATCTAGCAGAGAATTGTAAAATACGAGTTGTCCTAACTTCGTGTCACCTGACTGAAGAATTAAAAGGAGTCAATTGAACAAGTACTCGTCTGTTTGTTGTGAGAACCAGCTAGTTCCCCCACAAAGGTTCCTCAACAAAGTGGTGGCAGAACCCCTGGCTTTTCCCCGCGGAGGTTTTACCCTCGGTGGTGGCGCTTTAGGCGTCCTACCTTTCGCCTGTTGGTAAACTGACCGACTGAGACAGAAACGACACCTCTCCGTACCTTGCTAGGCGTTTTAACTGCGAAGAGTGTCCCGGCATGTTAAGATGGCTGTCAAGAAGCTATTGACCACCTATTTGAGACCTGGACACGTCAAGGAAACTATGTGCCTGATCTTCCTGAACTCGAATATGCAGTCCATCACCAAGATCATCAAACCGACATGGCCGACGCACCTCCTTTCGAAGAATGGTGCCCTCATGAAGGCATCCTTTCCTAACACCGAAGTTCAGATGTTCCCAAGCCCCTCAAGTCTTCAAGTCCCCAAGCCCTCAATTTCCAAGACGTAAGATTTGTTTCAGCCGTCAACTTATAATAACGAACTGATCAAACCTGAACTTTTTATCTCTAACTTGCTTTAGTGATTATTTGAGTAATGGTTATAGGTAGATTTTATGTTTTCTTAAAGTATGTCGTCCTCTTATGCTTATTACTGTTTTAACTCAAATCCGTTAATCAATCCTTTTTTTTTTCTGTTTTACGTTTTGTACTTTTTTGAGGAACCTTTCTGGGGGAAGTAGCTTGTTCTCACAACAAACAGACGAGTACTTGTTCAATTGACTCCTTTTAATTCTTCAGTCAGGTGACACGAAGTTAGCACAACTCGTATTTTACAATTCTCAGCTAGATCAGTGTTACACGCATTTTTATATCAGCCAGGAAACCAGCTGCTTAGCGCAAACCGAATGCTGACGTAAGTCTAATCCGATTGGTTAAAACAGTTTCATTAGCATGAAACCTTCGAGATAATTGCTTTGTCGAAATGACTCTTCAACCTAAGTTTTCACTGCTAAGCTTAAGTCAACTGGCCAATATAAAACTAGGAGAACAATATAAAAACTACAAGATATATACCAGTAAACAGACTTTTCATACTAACAGATAGGAAAGTACTAAAATTACAGTTTGAAAATCTAGGGTTGTTGTCAATTTACAGAAGGTGTTAAGCTTCTTCATCGAAGATGATTGGCTACAACTTTTCCATAAATTAACCACGAACGTGATCACAACTTAAAGGGTAAATTAAAAATGCAGTTCAAAGTACAAAGCAGAATTTAGAACAATAGTTGTTTAGCTACAAAAACACCTATAAAATCACTAAGCCTAATGAAAGTTATCCACTGCCAAGAATTCGGTTAAAAACTCAAAGAAACATGCTTAAAACTCTTAAAAACAAGGAGGGTAGTCATTTCCTGGTAAATATCGAAGGAAGACCAGATTAAGGTCAAAAATGTCAAACTAGACAAAATACTTCATACAAACAAGGCTTTGTCATCTGTTAAAGGCTCTAATTAAGCATATCTCATGAACAGAAGTGTTACCGCGGAGATGCACCAATTTGGTACATCTCCTTTGTACCGAATTCATGTCAGGAGTAACTTGCTATCGATCATCAATTAACTTAGAAAACCAAACCTACTAGTAGTGAAGTAGCTTACTTAAACCAATCAACAAGAACGCTTACAACAATTCTACTACAAACATATATTGTAGCAATTGCCACAAGTAGCTGACGTAACTCTTCAATCAACAGTTTCCTTCCACAAGACCAAGGAGAATGAATTAACAGAAATCATTTTCTCATTTCGAGAGAGGATGTCGTTTGATCAGTGCTGATGCGTAGGAGTTAACACCAAGTAAAATAAGTCAATTGTTTTCTTTTTTTATGTTATTTCCCTTAACCTATAGATATTTCCCGAAACGAATAAATTTTGCAATAAATCCGAAACACCAAATAAAATTCCTTTAATAATTTTAAGTCAAAAACATGCGCACTGCGAACAATTTCCATCGCTTCCATTTTTATTGTTTAACACATTACAGAAGCTGGTTTTAGACTGTCATTTTAACTGTTATTTGACACTCAATCAACCAATCACCACCAGGGCATATTTTGACTTATTTTCGGTTTAGTGGAAGATTATCCGCAGTACGATCAAATGTACCTGAGTCTCCTGGTAACACGCAGCAAGGTGTATCACGGTCTTGTGATCGTATCTCTCAAGTTCCATCAATTTTTCTTTGCCTCTTTCTAGCAACAGTTGAACCATCGCCACTTGCTTATGCATCACAGCTAAATGAAGGCAGCTGTTATGTGCAAAGTCGAGAGCTAACAGGTTAGCTCCACGATCAAGGAGCAGCTCCGCGGTTTCTTTTGCTCCATGAATTACTGCCAGCAAAAACGGTGTCAAGTCCATCATGTTTTTAACCTCCATTTCAGCTCCTTTTTCCAACAGGATCTCTGCTATTTTGGGGTGATTGTAAATAGCTGACCTAGGAAAAATACGATGATATGAGACAGGTTTTTTGTCCTTCTTGGAAAAGACAAATATTAAGAATAATCGTAGGTCAAACCTACATCGCTGAAAAGGAAACGAAAACAACCTTGAGATAATTCGGCTTCTTGAAAACCACGTTCACTGTAAGTTTGTAACGTTATCGATTTTGCAGATGACATAAGTCCAGTTTTACGAAATAAATCGTATATCAAACTGCCCTTTAAACAGAGGAAAGCCTTGCCTAAGGAGCTGAAAAAAACACTCAGTAAAAATTTTAGGGATTATCAAGATTTGAGCCCTAACCTTTACAGCACCGAATGTATATAACGCTCTAACATATCTGATACAGGCAAATTTTTGAAATTTACCAACACGGGCGGGGGCGTGGGGACACTCCCTCACATGAACTATTTTAGCACTGGTAACTGGTCTTCCAGGAGGTTTCTATTTGGGCCTACAGCATTCAGCGTTCTGAAGCAGTAGTTGACTTGGCCTAAAGGATGAGGGGCGGGGGGGGGAGGGACTGGGTTTAAATCACGCTCAGTGGCACACCTATGTAGAAAATTTTATATAGCGTCAAACTCTTCGCCCCCACCTCCCCCTCCCTCCGTCTCCTTTTAAAATTAAAGAGATTGGGGGCCTTGTCAACCTTTCTCAGCAGGGATGAGTAGGAGGCCCTGGTTACGAGGTCGGGACCTTATATGGTTAAGCTTACATGTGCAATGGTGTCTGTAACTGCCCATCTCTGCATTCAGTCCCCGCCCCACTAGAAATCAGCAGCTTTGTTGTTTCCTCGTGACCGCTCATGGCCGACAGGTTCAAAGGTGTGAGAGAGTTTACTCCTTTTACGGCTTCATAGTCTGCTCCATGGCGTAATAATAGCTTGGTTATTCTACTGTAACCCTTGACACTACTCATGTGCAATGCAGATGTGTCCTCTATATCCCTGTCGTCTAAAATATCCTTTAGAGATGAGTTCTGCTTCTTCGCTGTAAACAAGCAAGCAAAAAAACAAAGCTAGACTGTACTGCGTGGTACAGCACAAGTTAGCCTACTTAAGCAACTTTCTTTCGTGTTTGTTTTCCTTGATTAACTCTTAGACAGCCGGTAAGAAAGGGGGACGGAGACAACGGTTTGTGACTGATTTTTACGCTACAACCCTCGCTACTTACAGAGGTAATTGCCATTTGAAAGAAAACTCTGGATGGGGTTCCTGGTGGGTGGCACAAGAGTGAGCCATTTCTCAGCTCACCACAGAACTCACATTTTCCTTACTGGAGGCGGGAAAATGTGTCGCACGAAACTGAAACCGAGAGATGGGTAAATGGTTAGTTACATTTTGTTGTTTTTGTTGTTGTTGTTGTTGTTTTTCGGGGTTTTTTATTAGTTTCATGGTAAGCAGCCTTAAGTTTATGATAATGTGTACCTTAGGTACTATTAGAGCGTTTCGATATAAAATGTATTTCTTGTCAAACAGTTTAATTCCTAAAGTAAGGTATGGGTCACGAGAAACGCATATTTCACATACACATTGGTCTTCTAAGGCCTGAGGTAAGATAAAGATTTTCCGCAGTTTCCACAACGCAAAAATCCCGAGTCTTGTCATAATCCATCAGGCAATAACAATTACAAAGCCATGAGATTTCACGTGTAACGCCATAAAACAATGAAACTGATTACACAAAGCCTGAATGTGAATTTCAGGAACTATCACAACACCAAGTAAATCCAGTTTCGCTTGCCAATCACCGTGCTATAAGTCCTACAACATTTAGAGAATCCCTTCCCAAAAGAAAAGGTTAGGCAGAATGGAGAGTCACAAAAACGGGTAACCAAGCCGTTTCCAGCAGTGATTTAGTAGAGCTGAACAGGGATCCAAGGAGTTCAAGGATGACGACATCTACGAACTATGTAAGGTGAGACCGATTTTCGTTTACAAGCAGCATGATCTTACTACAGTCGAAGCGGAGTTAGGTGCACGGGTTGCTTAAAGAGGCTAAAAGCAATGGAAAAGTATAAAAAAAGTCTGGGCAAAAAGTGGTCGCGGTCGCTTATGGGAGGTGGTCGCTTACGAGAAGTGGTCGCACATGGAGAGGTTAGACTGTACAGTCAAACCACCACTAACGGTCACCTCTCTACAACGGCCACTTTATTTTGTCCCGACGGACAGTCCATACATTGACTCTTATTTAAACCTATCTACAACGGCAACAGCCACTAAAACGTGTCCCCAACTGCCAAAATAGCCTCTCGACAACGACCAGTTTTTTCAGCGACTGATGAAAAAGTCAAGAATGGTCTTGAAATTTGATCCGTATGGCGCGTTGATGATCAATCGTAGCAATCGTATTTTGATTTTGTTTCATTTATACTGCTGCAGTAAGCATTAATTGTCTACGATACTTACAGCGAATGTTGCGAACCTTTCTCGTTTTGTCACGTTAACATTTTGATTCAAAACATAATTCAAGCTTTTAGCGTATTTTTGTCTCTACATATTATTTAACATTGGATTTTTACCATTATGGGAGACAGTAAGCATGAACTTAGCACAATAAACATGTTGTACTGCCTAAAAAATTGTCATATTACACCCCTACAGTTCCCACAACGGCCAACTCTCCACAACGGCGAGTTTCTTCTGTCCCCAAAGCGGCCGTTGTGGAGAGGTTCGACTGTATTTAACAATTGTCGTAACGATTACTCACCTGCAGTGATTATTAGTTCACAGATTTCTACGTTTCCGCTCAGTACCGCAAAATGAAGCGCCGTGGTCAGATTCAAAGACTTTGACGTCAGATTTGCGCCACGAGCTAGCAGCATTTCACAGAGAGATCGGTCCCCACTGGAGCACGCTCCCAGAAATGGCGTTATTCCTGCTGAATTGGCATTATTCACATTTGTCCTGGGATCATTTAGAAGAAGACATGCAATTTCTTCATAGCCTTTTCGAGCAGCAAATAGAAGAGGCGTTGCGTTTTCGTTGTCTGGAACACTAGTGTCTGCCCCCTTTTCAAGTAAGGCTTGAACTGCTTCAGTATTTTTGTGTCTAAAAAAAGGAATATCTGTTTACCAATAGGAACTCTAATTCTTTTCCTGACTTTTATTGTCTAATGCAGTTATTTCCTATTAACTACGTGGTACAGGGTAATGAGATAAATTCATTGAATTGTTGCCCCCTTTTGGGTTCTAATTAGGTGTCACGTGACGTGGTTGCGTGGTTCATTCTTCCATGCTTCCATGCTGTAAGGGCGTTTAGAGATTTTGCCTGCCTCCTTCCCTTACCATGTCCATGCCTACTAAGCTTTTTCTTCCCTACAAATGTGACGGCGTTTTGGTGCCCGCACCTTTACTGGGATGAACATTCACTAATAACCTTTTGTGAGACTGGAATTAAATGGTTATGATAAAACATTAAAGCGGCTATGGGTATTTCCCACAGCCAATGTTCGTTCATCCTGGTCGTCGCAATGCCGTGCACAATGTCTTGCTTGTACAGTACTAATTTGGGTTGGAGAAAGATGAACAGAATTTTATCACATTAACGGCCTCGTCGTTTCATGGATGATTCAGAATATTCTGGGCCTGCTGCCCATCAAGATCTGGAAGGGTATCATTGGGATCCGGGATCTGGCCGAAATTCTGAGCGGGATTCGGGAAAATGCAAAAATTCTTGACGGGCTATTATTAGTTCACAGATTTCTACGTTTCCGCTCAGTACTGCAAAATGAAGTGCCGTGATCAGATTCAAAGACTTTGCCGTCAGATTTGCGAAGGGTATCATCGGGATCCGGGATTTGGCCGAAATTCTGAGCGGGATTCGGGAAAATGCAAAAATTCTTGACGGGTTATGGAAATTGACTGCGACTCGGAAAGAGGGATTCGCCGAACTCTTGCACGGGAAAGAAGACGGTATTCAGGGTAGAGATTACAAAAGCTCGTGAAAAAGGAGCAGGAATGCGGGCTCACAGAACCCCCTTCCTGACCCTGGCCCATGAGAATACTATCTAGACAGTCAGCCTTTTATAGAAACAAAGCAGTAAAGCAAAAATCCTCAGACTGTTCACGAGTAAAGTCTATACAACAGGGACACGCAACGACGGTTTCCTTCAAAATACATTGAAAATACTTTAAAGGCTATGCAGAGTACTGTACAGTACCGCAAATGATCCCCAACCGCAAATGATCCCGAGACCGCAAATGATCCCCAAAATGGACCGCAAATGATCCTCGACCGCAAGTGATCCCTAAAGTCGACCGCAAATGATCCCGTGAAAAGTTGAGGAATGGAATGGATTTTATGGGACTGATTACAAAAAAGGACTGATTATAAAAAAGAAACCTTTTTCTCTCGCCTTTTAAAGAAAAAGGGAAGGAGGACGCTACATCTCAGGTCAATTTATACAAGGCGAAAAAACAAATGGAATAAATCTGAAAAGGTATGGTATTAACCGTATACTTCTTCCTTCGTCGATTGCTTCAATTTTCTTTCAAGAATGTTTCGTCTTTTAAAAAATTTAAGACAGGCAGGACGTTACGTAGAAAAATTATTTTAACGCCTAGAAGCTCAACTTTTCTACTGAGGAATACAAAGCCGTGCACCCTCTACCTAACAAGAGCTTTATTGACTTTACTGATCTTTTTGAAAGCGTGAAATTAATCAGCCAGAATATGTCATTTTGATTTTTCTCTGAGGTGTTAATTTTACGTGATAAACAGCAAGACATTTGTTCGTAACTTAGGTGCCCGTTACAAAACAAGACATGATTTAACATAAACACAAGTCAAAATGCCCCCGAACTTATCAATATCCACAGGTTTCGGTTTATTTCGAAATAGCAACTTTCTTACATCTCATGAACGTGCTGTGAATAGTTATATTAGCGTTTTTATGTATATTCATTTGTTGTGCTTGGTAATGAGAAACGCAAAGCCAGGTAAGCGGTAGTTATCGCGTGACAAAACATCGTAAGAAACCGTCACATTCACGGACTAAAAGAAAATCGCTTATGATTATTCGGATCCAGGAGGCACTTAGGAGAGAATTAAACAACCTAAAATCCTTATTTAGCGGCAATGAAGAGCACTGCATTTCAAAAGAGGTCAAAGGAAATGCTCTTGCATCAAAGGGCAAATCATGCCGACCAGAAACAACAATAACCGCAGAAAATGGGTGTCATGACCTCTCAGTATGAAATAAGCGGCAAAAATCACATTTGCTCAGTCAAAACGTTTTCCTCAGAGGTATAATCTACCCGCCAGAGCCGGAAAAAAGTCATTGGAAAAAGCAGCATTTTAGCACGAGGTAAAAGTCGTTTGTTGCCTATCGACTTCGTTTTTACTCTTAAATGATTTTTTTCATTTAGTTTTTATTCATATATTTATTTGCGAAGTAAAAGTTAGCTTTTAACCTGACTTATTGTAATAATGATAAAATCGACACGATGATCCGCTAACTTGAGTCCAAGTCATTCCTATTTTTCTTTCGGGATCATTTGCGGTCGACTTTGGGGATCACTTGCGGTCGAGGATCATTTGCGGTCCATTTTGGGGATCATTTGCGGTCTCGGGATCATTTGCGGTTGGGGATCATTTGCGGTACTGTACAGTACTTTAAGATCTCTAGAAATACATTCTAACCGGCGATATAAATTTGTATCTTTTCGGTCATCCTTATACAGGGTAAATTGAGCATTTTCGAAATTACATGGGCTTCAGTATTACTTTCCCGAATATTTTAGATGCAATTTAACGTATTACGAAAGTGAGGATTTTTCTGATTCCTCTCTCCATCACCTTTTCCAATCCGAAAATGTTTGGTTTCCTTTTTCGACGGAACCTAATCTGAAATGTGGAAAAATTAAACTTCGGAAAATCGATTGCACATGAATGGAAAGGTCGTCTAGAAATTTTTAGCCGTCCTCTAGTAAAAGAAAATACAAGGTAATATATGCTTCTCCCAACAGGTATTTTACAGAAAACAGCCGTTGGGTGCCCCTGAGACAAACTTTCGTGTGTAATAGTTTCAAAGAAGCAAAATAGTTTCCTTTATAACAACCGAGGCCTCAAAAGCGCCGCGGGAAGTCAACGTACCAGCTGATTTGAGCTCAGGCTTTTTTTATGATTTGAATGGACAAACCGCAGGAGCGTATTCACATAAGATAATTGATTCGAAATTTTATGAAAGATGAAACGAATACAAAGTAATAGAAAAACGCAACGTTTTACAGTAGAACCCCGGTAACTCGAGAACTGTTGTCCCTTATTTTTTCGTAACATCGTCAGCCAGAGGAGCTAATGTGATGGCATCCGAATGGAATGACAGGAAACAGAATTCGAGTTATAGGGGTAAATGTCAGTGAAATTTTAATCAAGGGAAAGGAGGTTTAGTTCGAGTTAGCGGACTGTTAGCGGCCGGGAGTTCGAGTTATATCGGGGTTCTACTCTACTGCAAGACACAATAACATAGCGTACCTTACGGCGACATGAAGGGGAGTGTATCCATTATTTTCCACCAAATCAATACCTGCACCTTTTTCTACTAAAAATTTAACAACATCAGCTTGATTACATCGTGCAGCGTGGTGCAGCACCGTGAAGCCATCTGAATCTTTACTACGTAAAAAGTTCTCGTCTGCCAGTGGTAGCTTTAGGCCTTCTAATTTAAGACGTTCTGGGTTTAAGGTTTCAAAAACGCTGACGCCCTTTCCCTGTGACAACATCTGCTGAAACCTCTCGTTAAATTTTCCAGGATGTTTCTTCGAAGGATTAAGCTCCATGGCTGCGTCGTCCTTTCCGAGGGTGAGAGGGGTTACTGTAGCGCCAGAAGGAAATAGTTTTGTCCTGATTGTTGGACTGTCTGGAATTATAAAGAAAACGACTTCAATTCTTTTATGAAATCAAAAGGAAATGAAAAGATACAAGATACAAGGTATACAGCCAACACTCTCTCGTACCTCTTTAAGCCCCAAGAGCAACCAACATCAATGTTTTCCTCCCAACAACATCAACAGATAATCACGAGATTGGGTTATGAGAATAAAATAATAAAATATAATCATCGGAGGCAAAATGCTTTACCCTCCAAAAAATTCTCTCAACTAATGATTTTAGGAAATGTATGGATATCAGTCTGGAGGATTTGTATGTTGGGCTAAAAGGGTCAAAAGACACTATTTATAACTTCAGTAGACAGTCACCTCTCAAAGATGCTACTTAGCTACACTTGGTGCCGTTCCCTAAGAGGGAGTTGGCTGTATAAGAACAAAACTGCCCAGCCAGTCTTTTCAAAATGAGCAATGTAGAAACACTATTAAATAAAAGGTGACAGTTTGGTTTGGACATAAGTATCATCCAAGTGAACCAATTGAACAACTAACTATAAAAATTCATAGTAAAGTGGTGACCTTGGAGAACTTAGTGAAAAATAAGTGCTCCAAGGTCACTTTCCTATGTGTTTTTGTATTTAGTTATTCAATGAGCTCAGTTGGATTATTCCCCAGCTTTGAAACCCTAAGGGAATAAAAAAGGGTGTTGAGAAATCCTGTCTACCTGTAGCCTGCCAACCCAGAAGCATTTCCGCTCATCGCTTCTCTCCAACCAAGAAGTAAGTTTCCTGCGAAAGCAGACGTACTTCTGGTCATCACTTTACTTCACCATTTTCAGGTACAGAGAACCCATGATAATTGACGTCTGCATTTGCAGGCCAAAATGCCCGAAAATAAGGTTCTCAGTTACATTGTCACTTCAGCCATGGGGGCCAGAGACTTTTCATGCGCGGTTTCCGGTTTTGGTCAGTCTTTATAGCTATCCACTTCGCCACTCATGGCTTCGTCCTAAGAACTGCCAGCCTGCGGTCAAAACTAAACATTCCACCGCCCACCAAAAAAAAAGTATTGGTACTCAGGATCAGGAGCCCATAACCTTAGTATTGCTGGTTTGCACGTTATGTCACGGCGGCCATGTTGGTGGCCAAGAACAAAAGCATATCTCTCCTTAGCCTGAGTATCAGGCCTTCCTACGGGGCTAGGGGAGAGGAGATTTTAGATGGGGGAGGGGGGAGGGGGAGAAGAGAAAGGAAGGCCTGACACAAAACCATTCAGCAAATCGTGTGACACATCCAAAATCTGGATGTGGCAGTGATTGGATAACACACAATACCCCCTGACGTCACCGACCGCAAGAGCGATCGGCAAGGAGACGGTCATTGAAATTTTTCATAGATGTTTTGATTTCATGTTACCGGTATGTGATGCTTTTACAGACAGAGACGCAGAGAGGAATTCAAAAAGGTTCTAGAGGGCGCTCTCAAGTTCTTTCCTGGAATAAAAATAAAACCCGAGCAAGAATTGTGTTTTTAAGGCCTCGTAGTTTAAAGGAAACATGTACTCGAAGTAAGGAAAAGCCTCATATACCATCTTCTATGTCCAAGTATTGGTTTCACAAGACCGGGACAAAGAAGACGATATCACTGTTTCAGATATCTAAGTTCAGATTTACAACATCCTGCCGTTAAAAGGGTATTGTTACTGTAAATGAAAATAGAGCGAGGTAGCCATGTATTGAGATAGCCGCGGGGATAGCCGACAGCACCAATGCTTTTAAAAAGCTTGACTTTGCTTGTTGCGGTTACGATAACGTACGTGATTGGAATTCGTTCGCTTCCTCTTCCAAAATCTTCTCACTTTTGAAATGTCTTAAGCTCAAGCGGGCGCCATCATATTTCGCCAACGGGATTGACCTTTGCTGTAGGCTCTCACTTGTTTTGAACTTGTAACAGCTTTCACGAGCTCTCTGTGAAGTGGTGCAATCTGCCGCCGCTTGATAATTTCTAGGCATAGGTGTGTCACTATCGAACTTCCTATATATTCTTACAGCTCCTTTCAACCACCCGAGAATACGAGGGATAACACCAGCTTTTTAGCTGCCAGACAAGCGCCTCATTTAACTCTGTAAACAAAAGCAATTTACAATTTTCCGGGCACACGTTTGTTTACAAACAGAGCGTTGGCGATCTTACACTAGCACAATTCCTAAACCCTGTTATAATTCCTCATAAACGGCAGGTTTTACATTACAAGTATTCGAAAACTCCTCATTGGAGGTCTCAGAAAAAAGCGAAATCGTAGCAACACAAGCACCGGAGCTCGGCCCGACCGTTAAGTGAGATTTATTTTAGGCGAGCTTTTTGACACGTGAAACTGACAACCCAATGGCCGGAAGTGATTTTGATTGGATGGTATCGAATCATGCTGTGTGAGGGTGGAAGGCTCCAGTAAAAGCATCTGTGTCAGGCGTTTCTTTCCTTCACCTCTCTTCCTTTTTCGCTTCCATTTTTCCCCTTTTCCCCAGAAACGCCTGATACTCAGGCTAATCTCTCCTCTGGGATGTTAACTCCAATTCATGTAAATTCTTCGAGAAAAATCTATTGTTTTGACCTGCAACATGGCCGCCTTGTCACGTAGTTGCAAACCAAGAATATCATTCCTTATGCACTAGTTACAGTTCACACTAAAATTACAAGTTAAAAATTGGTACCTGTAAATCTCACGTAGCTGTCCTCAGAAATATTTGTTTTTTCTGCCATTTTCAAAGGCGATAATGAAGCTTTCACTGCATCTTGCAAACTAAACACAATACCAGTAATATTTCATTCATTTGTGCAATATTACCTACATGTATGTAAATTTAAGAACGACGTGTTGGCGACATACATTAGCATGGAAAATCGATTTATTCAACAGTAGCCTGTTCCAGGCGTTCAGATAGTGGGGAGCGGTGCAAAGTAAAAGGGAGCGCGAAAAAGTAAAAGCGAGGGAGGAGGAGAGGTGAGAGAGGGAACGCCTGTTAGATTTGTTTTAAATAGACTCTTCCGCCCAGTCAGACCGCATCAGCTGTAGGTGGTCTTCACTTGTCAATCAAGACTGGTGTTACAGCCCGATGCATTTATTATTTTTCTTGCGAATAAATCGAAGTTTGTCAGATCAAAAATTAATATTATGTATACATAATCTTACTAAAAACCCAATGTAAGACTTCCAGACAATAGAAGGCGGGAGAAGTATTCATGTATAATGAATTTATTTACGGCTTTAAAAACATGATTTCAGCGTGTACGTGACAAAAAATTATGAATCAAGTGACAAACAAATATCGCTCATTTCGATAGAAAGCCGTTTCAATACAGATCGTTAACTCAAGCAATGAAAATGCACAACAATTGAAGGGAAAATTTACTATTCGGTGATTGAGTGGACCTCGTCAATAGCGATAGCGGCAACTTGCTTTCCAAGCTTTTCTTTTTGAAGTCCTTTTGTCCATTCATTAGACAACCACGATTTGGCACTTCAGTAAACAATTTCACAGCTTCCACTTTTAACGGCTTCATCCATATCTTCTCCCATCATTGCCGCCGCTACTCCGATCTGACTTGTTCAAATATTCCACTTGGTCCATGATGGTAATCAACGGAGTTACCACAACAATCGTAAATGGCATTCTATCCTGCCTTCATTCCAACGCACGCTTTATTCGAGGAAAAAACTGAAAAATAAGAATTTTTCTAAAGCCAGTCGGTGAGAAATTGCTAAGACATCTATCCTACCGACTACGTGTTTTAAACAGTTTCTTTGCTTTTCGCTTTTAGCCTCCACGTTTGGAAAGTCACTCAGCGTTGTGTTTGTTGCGAGTTTGAATTCTGCGTGACGGCACGTAGAGTCTGTCATAACGGCCATATCGCATTTCTCGCTGTGATCGAAGACGCTCCACTGTTGACAAAAACTGTCAAAATCAACCAATCAGAGGGTATACCAGGATCTGGTATACCGGAACGCACTTTTGTTAAGAATTCTTACAAGCGTTCCCGCACCTCTCTCCTCAGTCCCCCTCTACTTTTCATCGCTTTCTCTACTCCACACCGCTCTCCACTATCTGAACGCTTGGAACAGGCTAATTCAACAGTAGATAAAATTTCTTTTTTCAATGAAACTCACGTAATACATCGAGTTGATAAGAGAGATCGAAGCTAAGTTCACGGATTTGGGAGGAAAGTTTCAGAAAGCACTATGCAAGAAACACGTACGACTTGAGTACTGGCGAATCGATCAACCGTATCGATCGCTGATTACAACCCAAGGCATCGGCAAAAAACACATACACAAAAGTCGCTAAAACACAAGAAGGATTAATTACGACAAGGATATCATGGAATGATATTTTTCATTAACAATAATGCCATTTTCGTATGCTTTACACACTTACCAATATTACTGCAGCAACTTGACGAAAGAAGAATATCAGTCCGCTATAAGTGTATCTGCCGGGATGTCTCTCACATATTTCGCTTCGACTGCCTTATCAACTTCAACTAAAAAAACTAAGCCGTTGTGCCTTCAAGTAGGTGAACATGATTCCATGCCGGGGATTTCAGACCAGAGTTGCCAAATATTGTCATCGATTACGATGTTCCAGTTGTGTCACGCAAAGTTTGCGTATTGATTAACACGCTGCTAAGCAACAAGACCAGGTGTGAGAGCATCATTAGCATTCTAATGACTCGCAGTCCCAGTTCAGGCCCCGTCCACACATATCCGGATATCCTTGAAAAATGAGACTTTTTTTAACTCGTGGGTACGCGCGAGCGTACCACGAGTTATTGCAGGGACTGAGATATGCAAATGAGTCACTCACTCACTCGTAGTAGACGCACTTCGTAATTAATCGGGTCCGAACTCGAGAGCGCGAAGATCTATCGTTTCCAAAGAAGCACGCGCTCGCCGAAGTTCGGTAGCATCAAATTCCTCGCTGCGAACGTGCATCGTGCGCTACAGCACGGTTAGGATAGAGGTCTTACCAAATTAAGACAGGCAGGAATCTTTCAAATTAGTACGATTCAAAAGCCTTTGACCCGTCCAGGCGTTAAACTTGACAAGAAGATGAGCATTTGCTCTTCGACTCCTTCAACTTCGACGCTGGCTTGATCTCGTACCTTGTAGTACTGTAGTAGGTTATGTGTATGAATGAATTTATGGCGGTCAGTATAAAACACGGAATGCGAACTACGGACTGCGGACTGGGTATAAAATATGGACTGGTGAAATGTATGGTAAATAAAGGCACTTCTTCTTCTTCTTTCTTCTTCTTCTTCTTCTTCTTCTTCTTCTTCTTCTTCTTCTTCTTCTTCTTCTTCTTCTTCTTCTTCTTCTTCTTCTTCTTCTTCTTCTTCTTCTTCTTCTTCTTCTTCTTCTTCTTCTTCTTCTTCTTCTTCTTCTTCTTCTTCTTCTTCTTCTTCTTCTTCTTCTTCTTCTTCTTCTTCTTCTTCTTCTTCTTCTTCTTCTTAAGGACTCCCCAAGATCAAGGGGGGAAATGAATGTGAGCTTGGGCATTACCTTTTTAAAATAACAGCGGATGTCGACATAAGGAAACATAAGCTAATGTTTTGCGTCCTACTTCGCGGAGGAGTTGTGTCGGCTTTGTATCGCATATGTTCTTTCATTGCCATGAAATGCGTTTACATTGTTTTTTACTGTCAGTAGCCTGGTTTCAATTAGCCTTAATTTCATCCCATTCCTTCGAGTCGTTTTTATGGCTCGATTGTTTGCCCCGGTCGTTTGCCGGCGGAAGTTCCATATAAAAACCATTAAATTTGACTGATTATCATGTGACATCCTCAATGGCGTAGTGGCCATGTGAGGTCGGGTCTTACCGAAGGTACCGGGTTCAAATCCTGCTACAGTCCTTCTTTTTCCCTTCTTCCTTTTTTTTTTCTTTTTTGTTTTGTCTCGTTTGCTTATTTGTTTTGCTGTTTTTTTTGTTTTGTTTTTAAATGTATACTTAAATAACTGTTACTAAAGTGCAATAAACAGCAAGAAAAGTATTGTGTTTCCAGAACAAGGATAGTATATTTATAATATAAATTTCTATCATTTCCTAAAATTCACTGTGGGAAAACCAGAGGTGATAACTAATTGATTATTTTCTAAACAACGTACCCACGAGTTGACGATAGTCTTTCTTTGATTTCTTTGTTTTAGCCCTCTGTCCACATGTGAGCGGCGTTTTCGGAAAACACAGGTTTTCGAAAAGAGTCCTAGAAGTGCAGTAATGTTTTGAAAACGCGGGATTATCGTTTAATTCATTTGGAAGGCAGTAGATAAGTAAGTTAAAAAAGTAAGTAAGTAACTTTATTAAAGTGTCAGTCGTTCTAGTGTTAACACACCGATTGGACGCACTATATGATGAAAAATATATATATACTCAATTGCATATTACATCTACAACATCAATATTAAGATAAGCTATTACCCGGTGACATTAAAAACTATAAAAAAAAAAACATTAAGTCACAAACGATTTCCCGGCTACATTAAAAAAATATGACATTTAAAAAGTATTAAAAATAACGTTAAAAACTATCGCCCAATGACATTTAACATAAAATGCTAAAAATGGTTACGTAATAATAAACGGTGATAAAAATATATACAAGACCTACACTAGTTTTGACAAAGGAAACAACTGTTACAATTGTTACAGCTACTGTCCTACCCGATTAGACAACAAATATCATATGCCTTATCTTTTTCTTAAAAATGGACAATGTTTTTTTTTCATTAGGTGATTATAACCCGGGTTGTAGAGAAAACTGCATGGATGTTAAATTCTAAAAATGATGTTATAACTGCATGCCTTGGATAATGAATTTTAAAAATGGTGTTTTAACAGCACTTTTTAAAAATTTATAAAGATGTTAAAGATGCAAAAGTAGACAGTAAAGGTGATTGGGTGACAAAAGCGAAAAAAAAACATATAAATTGTAGTGAAATGTTACTGAAGTAAATGCTATTCAAGAACGTAAACGCTACAGTAGACTCGTTGCTGCGTAGCGACCGAAGGGAGCGAGCAGCAACATAATCAGGATTTAAAGAAAATATATAAGCGGCGACGAATTCTCGAATTCATCACTTTTTACCACAATGCATTGCATTTGACCACATTTTTTACCACAATGCATTGCATTTAACCAGAGTGCATTGCGCCACGAACAACTCAAATAAAAACACGGGGAAGTTCGGTGGGTGAGAGAGTGCATCGTTCGCTGCTCAGACTTAGAGTTTTCTTTGTGGCAAATTTTCTACAGCACGGTTAGAGGTCTTACCAAATTTTAAGACACGCAGGAGTCTTTCAGATGAGTACGATGGTTAACTTGGGGATTGGATTTCAATTCAAGAGCCTTTGACTCGTCCAGGTGTTAAACCTGACGAGAAGATGAGCATTTGCTCTTCGACTCCGCAACACGGGGGATATACAAATTCCAGCTTGCTAGAAGGTGATGTGTGAGAAAATGTCATGCAATGCTATTCTTAAGAAACTGTATGAGCCGAAAATGGATGTGATTTTGACCATTCGCTTCAAAATAACAGCGGAAATCGAGATAACAAAACATATGTTTTGTGTCCTACTTTGCAGACGAGGACGTGTATCGGCGTTTTGAAAAGCATAATTATGTTCTTTCATTCATTCATTGCCATGGAATATGTGTTTACATTGTTTTTTCACTGTTAATAGCTCGGTTAATGCGGCTGGCGATCATCTTGCCGGCGGAAGTTTCATGGAAAAGGAATCAAATGAAAGACTTTTCCTAACGATTTCATAATCAGTCTCTGTGGTGAAGTGGTTAGGTGTAGTCGCATCGAGTCGAAGGTGCCGGGTTCGAGTCTTACCCGAATACTAATTGCTTTTTTTTTCTGTTTTTCGTGTTGTTGTTTTCTATAAATATATAGCTAAATAACTGTTACTTAATAAAGTGCAACAAACAGCAAGAAAAGTATTGTGTTTCCAGAGAAAATATCGTGCACCGCATATTAAATATATGGATAAACAATCTGATTTGCTATTATTTCCTACAATTTACTGTGCGAAAACCAGAGTTGATAACCACTTGATCATTTTCTAAACAACGTTCCCACGAGTTCTTTCTATAGACTGATAGTAATTATTCTAGTACTTTCCAACATGTAAATAGGACATTCAATGTCATTTTTGATTCTTTTAAGTCTCACTGCCTAACTAATGCCAGTATCAACAGAATGTGCCGCAGCATTACTATCTTTTAGATACCCTAGTCATAATTCCGTGGTGAAATACTATTCCATTCCAAAAATTAATCGGGGATCATTTTGGGGTCGACGTGAAGAGAGAAGGGGGTCATTACGGGGTCGGTATCATTTCGGGGTCAAATATGGGGATCATTTCAGGGTTGGGTATCATTACGGGGTCGGGATCATTTCGGGGGCTATACAAATACAACTTTTAATAAATTAAATTCACAAGTTTCGATAAATTTTGAACCCGGTAAAACGACATAAAAAGCAGAGGTCAGTTCGAATACGATGATGTCATGCATTTCGCATGCCCCGTAAGGAACGTTATCGTGTGGACGGGAGAAAACATTTCAAACACGCTACCTGTGGAAGCGTGTTTGAATATTTACTGAATGCAAGGCTGGCGATATGACTAGCAAAATCAGCCATTCTCATGGCCAGTCAAAGGTCCGGCTAGAGGCAAAGGTCGCGCGTAAACGTACGAGTATGAACCTTGGTGAACTTTTACGTTTTAGGTGCCACACTCCATACTTTTCCTTGCCTCTATTTAATTTACTTGCGTAAAATGTATGTGGTTACACACGTAAAAATTTCGCGACAGTAGAAATCCACCTTGAGGTAAGCTTCTCATGTTTTACGGTGTGACCTCATTAATTTATTTCCCAGTATAGTGCAACACATAATGGCAACACCTGTGCTCTCTCCTGCCTCCGCAGAGGCTTTTTTGTGTCGTTGGGAGGCTGGGGAGAGAGAAAAAAGAAAGTGCTAGGGGGGTTGGGATGATGAATACCCAGCGGTAGCCTTTCTGGAGAATCGAGAGAGGCACCTGTGCTCATATTAAATTGCTTGTTTGAGTTAAGCCTATCCAAAAATCGTTTTCTTAATGTATGGACAGAACCAAACACACCTGTCTGCAGGTCGTTTTAAACTTACTCAAGTTAAACTGGCGTTGCATTTTCATTTCAAAGATATATTTTTTTCCGTTGCCGCCTACAAATTCTCAGTCTTAAAGGAAGATACACGATGACAGAAGCTAGAAATTTCTATTCGTCTTACATCGCCCTTTGCGTCTTAAACGGTTTCTTGTGCTGCATTGCGATCATTCTGAATGGTATCACGATCCATGCCATAAGAAAAACTTCATCTTTGCCAAATACTCTAAGAATATTGCTCCTAAGCCTAGCTTTTTCTGATCTTGGTGTTGGTCTACTGGTACAGCCTCTAAACATTGCATTTTTCGTCATGGAGATGGGACCAAACGCTGAAAGCAACCCCACCTACAAGATCACAGCCTATGTGCAAAGGGTCGTTGTAAATCTCTTTTATTATGCTACTTTCTTTGACATTTTAGCTCTTAGTGTAGACAGATTTTTGTCTATTTATCTTCATCTTAGATACCAGGAACTTGTAACCCACAAGCGTGTTGTTGCTGTTGTGATTTCAATATGGATTTCAAGCTCATTTATTTCTTCTATTCACTTTTGGATAACAACTGATATCATTCGTGACGCTATTTATCTAACCATTGAGCTAGCTTGCCTTTTGACTACAACACTCCTTTACTGCAAGATCTATTTAGCGGTTAAACGTCACAAAAGGCAGATTCAAGCCCTTCAGATACAGCAGCAAGCACAAAATGAAACCGTTGGATATCGGGGGAGATTTAAGACTGCCATAGCAGCATTTTACATATACCTGGTGTTTCTTGCTTGTTATCTGCCGCATAATTGTTCATACGTCTCCAGGGTTATAACTGGTTCTTACAGTTTAGATGGTTTGGTAAGACATTTAGTTAGATATACTTTGACCCTGACGTGGCTGAATTCATCTCTTAATCCTCTTATCTACAGCTGGAAGATGAAACAAATTCGCCTCACGATTAAGAATATTTTCCAAAATATTCTACCGATCACTTGAGCTTTTTAATTCGTCGTTGCGGCATGGTGATCCGTAGCAGACCTTTCAAGGCAATGAACTACGTTCGCTCGAGTCATCTCCGTCTCCATGTGTGTGAAAGATGTCATCCAGAGACTAACTCTGGGTGCAAAGTCTTGGAAGCCTAATCAAGTCTAGCCTTCGAACGCCTACTTCTCGAGGGGAGAGAAGCGACGACCGGAAATACGTCTGCGTTCGCAGGCTACTAGGGAGCTTAAGCAAAGACGTTTTTGAGCGACGCACGTCAACCGGAAGTGAGGCCTTCTCCCTTTTTATATGCCTGGACACTATTAAATTTGTATTGCTGAGTTTCTTTTCTCCTATAAAGACGATTTACCCAAGGGTTTCAACCAAACCACGGCCCAATGCTGCAAAAAATCCACTTCCGGTTGACGTCCGTCGCTCAAAAACGCTGTTGCTTGAGCTCCCTACTATTAAACCGTGCGCTTGGGTTTAAGGACTTCTGGAGCCAGGGTCTTCTGGTGACTGACAATTACAAATGATACGGCTATGCCTGCACGATGTTAAGCAGAAATCGGACTCTTCAATAGATCAGAGCATCGCCGCCGCAAAAGACTAACCTTAACTTATAATACAGTTTGCGGTTCAGCTGGTATCTCTCAAGAAACTCTTATTATTTGGAGAAAAAGTGGAAGGAAGGACTAAGGCGTGCCAAGAGAGTAAATTTCCTGTATTTAATTCAAGCCCGTAACGCTGGTTTCCTTTTTGCAGTAGGTAGTCGGTGAAGAATGTGATCCGTCTCCTTTCATGTTACAAAAAGGTTTTGTAAATACTGCAAAGGCAATTTTGAAGAACAGCCTATGATAAAAACGATGTAAAATTAGCCACCAAGTTATATAGGGTCTCAATGGGGTGCTTTGACGGCTGACGGTAAATTGTTTCCAATTTTGACGGTTGACGGTTATTAAGTGGTCTTAATTTCAGATATCAGCAGGCTGTAAGGTCTTTTAGTGTCTAGAAAAAGTGTTTTTTTTTTTTTTGAGAACATGGGAACCGGTTTTTCCAGTTTATAGAGGTTATTCAGAAGCCAGAATCCCGTGAAGATCAGCCAAAATAGTGAGATTTGAAATACCGTGAAACTTTTTGACGGTTAATCTTAATCTGCATTTTTGACGGTTGACGATATAAAATAACTTTTCTTGACTGTTGACGGTTAATTTTTCGGGCCGTTTGACGGCTGACTGTGAACCTCATTGAGACCCTCCTTATAATCTTCTGAGTTGCAGAAATTTGATCCCGATATAAACACTGAAGTTAGATTTAGATTTAGAATTTATCGTCCATCAGATGATTTTGTATAAATGTAAAATTCTTTAGCCAAAATGTAACATAAAGCCTTTCGTGATATTTTTTTCGTATTAGTATGGACCTCCTTTTGCTAGAAACAACTTGGTAGGAATTGTTATTTGTCAATGATACATACTGCTTTCTGCTGCTACCATTCAGGAGTAACTTCAAGCTGTGCAGCGCATGTTTATCATTAATTATAAAATAACTGAGATAGTACGCGTGATCTGGTTGGTCAAAAACCTATGGTTTATTATATCGGTAAACCCATAGAAAAAGGCATCCGGACCACGAGCCATAAACAAAACCGTCTATTGATCTACAAACAATGATTTAGAAAGGCTAAAAAACAGAACAAGTTACTTATATACCTTCTTAATATCAAAAGCGTTGGTTTCCACATTTTATTACTGCCATAGCTTTAGAAGTAATAAAGTACAAAGCTGGAAAGCAGTTTACATTTCACGACGATGCCAAGGGCAGAGAAAGACAACAACTGTGTGAATTTCTGGTGTAGAAAGTCTCCAGGAAAACTTAACCATGTGCCAACCAGCAACAAAACGAATAGTTTTAGCATTCTTGATTTATTTTATGTCAAAACTAAATTCCATAATGAAAGAAATTGTTCGAAAAAGAGATCTCTGATCAAGATATAGTACAAAATCGGCCGCTGTAGGTTGTAAACAAGCTGCCAAAGATGATGAAAGATGTCAGAGTTTCGGGCTGGTTTTTTTCCGACATTTGCATAAATTATTCGGCGATTATCGATGCCATAATCTACCTCAAACCACCTGACTTTACAAATCGACAAATATGAACGCCAATGTGTGGCTACGGCAAAGAAACCTTTCTCCACCACTGACATATTTCCATCGGTCGCTGTACGTGCATATAAAGTTACATGCGACAACTTCGCAAATGCAGCCACGTCGTTACCGCAGCATTTCTTAATCATAATAAAGTCCAGTACAGATCATAAACCACTGCGGCTTGTAAAATGTGAATGAAGTCCTCCATTACAATAGCTGCCAGTTCCGTCTGTAAGCACGAAATTCTTACAGATCGACTCAACAAAATACAGCTGCATACAGTCTGATGTTCAATTAATTTCTACTTCTGTAGTAAACAAACCATGAACGTATTCTTTCATTGTACGTTCGCATGAATATGTGTTGACTTTTCCTGTAAAACAGCTTTCATTTCACTCGAAAAGCTTGTAAATCACTCGCCTTCGGCTCGTGATTTACAAGCTTTTCTCGTGTTCTCCCAACATCCCGCGTGGGTTATCACGCCGGTAAACCCATAGAAAGTGTGGTCTATTGCTTAACTAATATATAAGCTAACCATTAAAACAAAGGATCAAACGCCGTGAATATATTTGAAAGTTGATAAAGCTGTCAAATTTAAGTGCAAAACTTGGACAGACTCTAATATTGATTCCAAATATTTGTTAAGGTAAAAGGTCCTTATCATTCAGACGTCTGTAACTCGTGTACTTCAACTGACAAACCTGATCGATCGAGATAAACGGTGCGTTTATTTCTAAAACCCCCTCCCTCCATCGGCAGTGCTCTGTTTTACGGGTATATAAAGCTACCTAAAGCTATACACGGAAAGAAAATAAGTCGAAACAAGGATTTGAGGTCACACCTGGCAATCGAACTCGGAACATCCTGCACAGAAAGCCACGCACCAAGCAAATGTGCTGAATTGCTCGCCCTATTTCTCAGTCCTTTTCTGATCGGATGAAATGCCCCCAAAAATTCATACAGTACCTGTGTCAAAAATTTTGTATATTCACAAGCAGTTGAGTGCCTACAAAAAATTCATGCACGGGAAGTTCCATGCATAGTATTTATTAAAGGGTAAAGTAATAGAAAAAACAAGGTACCATATGCCGGCCATAACATATATCTTGTTTTCTAAGCAAAAATTAAACTTCCATACGATATGTTATCCCGGCAGAACCAACACTTTGTAATCGGTTTAACTTTCTAGTCTTCTAGGATAAGGACGAAAAAACGGAGACCCCGTCTCACAACACTCTCACTTATCTGGTTCTAGTGGACGTAAAAGAACCCGGCCACACCACTGTTCGAAAACAGTAGGGGACGAAGACCGCGGGGTGCAGCCAACGTACTTTCCCGGGCTGGGTGGGTTATCTGTAAGGAGAGATCTTAATGTAGGGATAAAGATCCTCCTTCGAATTCAAGTGTCGTAATGGATAACTGTAAAAAGTGTATGCATGTATGTCTGTTATACCGGATATTATTCCTCACAAAGTATACCAGGTATACTGTGCTATACCATCCGGTCTCTCTTTCTTTCTTGCAGACAAGAAGGCCTTAAAAAAAATCGTGCACCAAAAATTTTTACCTCCCCTCCGGTTACGTCCCTAAGGGAACACCCATCGATATTTTGTGGGCGTTTTTAATAAAACAATTACTCCACTCGTCCTGCTCAGTCCAATCGCACTTATTGGATATGAGATGACCATAGCCGCCAACTTGGCGCTTACCCGTAGCCAAAATGCCATCATACGACTTTAAGAGTGCGAAGTGAGCTGACTTACCAGTTCACTTAAATGTTCTCGAAATCAGCCCTCATTATTTTTTTATGGGTTTTTAAAACTTGGTTTTCGTGTCGTGGTGGTGTTTGGTTTTTGTTTTTGTTTTTGTTTTTTGTTAATTCTGCTTATTCAAAAAAAGTAATAAGTCCTTCTTTAATTATCCCCTGAATGATTAAAAAGTCATTCAGAAAGGACATGCAAACAGCGCACATGTTTCGAGAGCTATTTCAAAACATCCACTTAAAACCAGCACTCAGAACCTTCCATTTTTCCTTCTTTGGACTCTTTAAACGGCTCAATCGCAAGTTCATGTTTAGATTATAGGAAGTACATCGCTGACTGCAAAAGCGCAATGACAGAACCAAACCTTTTCTATCCGTCTAACATCGTCCTTTGCGTTGTAAAAGTTCAATTGTGCCTTTCTGCCATCATGCTGAATGGCATCTCAATCCATGCCATCAGGAAAACGTCGTCGCTACAAAAGACTCTGAAAATCATGCTGCTGAGTCTTGCTGTTCCTGATCTTGGCGTTGGCTTACTGGTGTATCCTTTGGCGATTGTAATTACACCCTGGAGATGACTTCCAATGCCCAAAACAATCCAGCTTATATGGTTATACTCACCTTATTTCAGGTCCCCTTGAATCTGTTTTATTATGCTACTTTCTTCGGCGTGACTGCTCTCAGTGTAGAGAGATTCTTGGCCATTTTTTTTCATCTTAGATACCAGGAACTAGTAACCTCCAAGCGTGTGGTTGCTGCTGTGATCTCAATATGGATCTCATGTGCATTTCTTTCGTGTATTCAGTTTTGGACCGCACCACTCATTCGTAACGTTGTTTATGTAACCATTGAACTGGCTTGCCTCTTAACCACAGCACTCCTTTACTACAAAATTTATGAAGCTGTACGACGCCACGCAAGAGAGATTGAATCCCTTCAGACAGAGACTCTTGGCGGGGACATCACAAGGACAACTCGGCGATTCAAGTCTTCCATCGGAACATTTTATATATATCTCGCTTTTCTTGCTTGTTACCTGCCACATAATCGCACCTATCTTGCCAGGCTTATATTGAGTTCCTGTAATAACCTGGGTTTGTTACGGCACTTGATGCTATACACTTCGACGCTTACATGGCTCAATTCATCTCTAAATCCTCTGATTTACACCTGGAAGATGAAACCAGTTCGCTTGGCAATAAGAAATAATCTGCAGAATATCCTAATAAATAGATTCAGCCGAGGCTAAAGGCGAAGCTCCTGTTAATGAAAAAACATCTTGTCAATAAAGAAATTCAATTAGAGTTGAGCCTGCGATCTGTTGAAAACTAGAAAACTTGTCAGCGGTAAACTTAAAAAAAAAACACGTTACCTCGAAGGGTAGCCTGCGAAAACATCCGTTTCTCCTCGCTCTTCGCCGCTGGAGAAGTTTCGCGCGGAGGAACGTCTGCGACTCAACGACAGAAATTCCATACTGATGACGCAAATCAATGTTTACATAATAAATCCGGTAGTCATGGGGTTCCAAATGTAAATTTATTCAATTTTAAGTTTCTCCTGGTCGATTTTGGTAAAGTGTTTTGTTCATCTGCGAACGAGCTCAAGCAAAACTCAAATACTTGTTCTAGAGAAGACTATATTCCACAAATATTTCCCGTTTGTTAGAGATTCATCGCGTTTACATTTGACCTTTGTGGCCTTTTGTCTTTTGTCTGTCATTCTTAAACAACAGCTAAAACAGTGTAACTACTCCGTCGACCAATCAGGGCTTCTGACCGGATTCTCGACATATTTTACGTCATCAGTATGGAATTTCTGTCGCTGAGTCGCAGACGTTCCTCCGCGCGAAACGTCCCCAGCGGCGAAGAGCGTGGAGAAACGGATGTTTTCGCAGGCTACCTCGAAGGGTCGACAGCTGAGCCCGCAATCCTAGAGCTAGGAGAAAATAGGGGGCTGTGAACAGTCTAAGATATTGGTAAAGAAAAGCAAAAGCTACGTTTTAGATTATCCTTGTAATCGGCATCAAACTGTGAAAGGACTATCCTGGACAAGTGTTCGAAGCCCGACTTCTCTCATCCCGGGTTAAATGCAAACAGAGAATATGAGTTGTCTTGTTAATTAACCCGGGATTTTCGATAGGTGTTGTTAAAAAAAGTAGGACTCATTGCCGAACGAAATAGCATAACTTGATGTAAGATCGATGTGCTTGTTTAAATAGAACTAAATAAACGCATTTTTACAACGTATGGAAGTCTCGATGCATTTCACAATAAATTTTATGCCCTATCTAATTTTAACACTGTTAAAAATAGAATTTTTCAATCTCCATTTAAAAGAGTCAACAGTCCGAAACACTGGTTGTTTACCATGTTCGTGGGACAACCAGTCCGTTGACGGTTTGGGCGAATGGTACGCAAAAATTCAGGACCGGTAAATTTCGTCCCGGAATCAACGCGTTTACGTTTTTGTACAATTCATTTCCATTTATTAAAAAACAGCTGCGAAGGCCTGAAAGTGGTATCAAAGATGGCTTGAAGAAATGAAACACGAATTTCCCGTTTGGAACATTCCGTCCCGGAACAATGAAGAACAGGACTACCTTTCCAAAACCCAAAAAGTCGTCTTTCATTTACTTTCCAGACGGATTTTCTCGAAACTTTTTGTAAATGGTACGGAAACAACTACTGTTTAATTATAACAGGTAGGTAGGTCGACATTCCAGAGCTTTGATTTTCTCGAAACTTTTTGTAAATGGTACGGAAACAACTACTGTTTAATTAATTACAACAGGTAGGTAGATCGACATTCCAGAGCTTTGATGCTATGACTGCTGTTGAGATGTACCGGTATTTTGAAAGTTATTTTAAGATATGTATCATCTTTTAAGTTTCGTTTCGTTTTTTTCATATTTTGTCCACGAAGGTGTTTTACTGTTTTCACCTTGTGATTTTACTTGTACCTGAATTTCCGGGAAAAATTTTCTAATGCTTAATCTTCCATTATATTAGTTCAGGAGCCGATTAGTTAATACGTGTAATGGTGTAATCGGCTCCTGATTAGTTTGAATAAGATAATTGGACCCATCACAGTCAATCATTCACTTGTCGTTCACTAGTCTAATCAACGTGAATTTCCAGTAGACACTGAAAAAAACGAAAAACCAAAAAAAATAATAATAAAAAAACCTCTTCAGAAGCTCTCCAAGCTATTAAATTTCTGACTACAAATTCTATTTATAGGATGCATCGTTCAGGGTGCCTAGTAGTCTGCATCGTAGACGTAATTTAACCGGAAGACCTTAGATAACAACGACCTCAGCCAGGTTGTGGCGTCCAGCGGTTTTAGTGAAAACAAGGGTTTGGATGGGGTGCTCAGTCTCGCGGGCTTATAACACTGGTCTCGGTCGTTCTTAACCTCAGTTAACTTAGTAACTTATGCGGGCTTAACGAATTTCCGGAAGAGAACTGGAAGGGCGTTTCGAATTTTCTTTCATCTTGATTTACAAATCGACAAAAAAAAATCAGGCCGATCATAGCCCGCTCTCAAATCCTGGTACACGGGTGGAGGGCCAGTTCGGCGCTGATTCGTAGACGGACTTAGCCTGCGAAGCGCAGAAAAGAATTCGGAGGGAGGGAAGCGACGACCGGAAATACGTCTGCGCTTCGCAGGCTAAGACGGACTTAACCACAGTTTAGTTTGGTCTGTGGCGCAAGCTAGGTGCATAGCTGCTCATCAAAATCACTGCTCACGAAAACAGAAAAACAAATAAATGAAATGTAAATAACGCCAAATGTTTACACAATTTTTAGGATCGTTAGTAATACGTGCTCGAGTTCCATGCAAAAGGCTCGACTATAAAGACCCAAAAGACGGTAATGGTGGTGTATGCAGATGAGTTGAACAATATCACCCGTTGTCACTGGTCGTAGGCGTGAGAATATGCCGCAAACAATAGATGTTGTCCAGGGAGACACCTGATTGTGATGCAAAACATTATAAAGTCAGCTCTCTTGGGACCTTACAGCCTTTATGCAAATGTTTTATTCCGATGAAGGCTCAACATCTTTAAACGCCGGTCTCAGAACTCACTCCATGTCCGTTGTGTTCACCAAACAGTTCAAATGAAATCGAACTGCTCGGTTTATTAGTAGAGTGTGGTTTCAGCCACCATGAACATCGACTTTGTTCCGTCGCCGTTGGCTTCATCTCCTGAGTCTGTGAATGGGTTTTGCTTTGAAATGAAGCCACTGCTTTCCCAACCAAACTACCTTTTTGAAGCAGCGGCAAACGGGCAAGTAGATGACATTCGTTCGTATTTATCGACGACCAAAAACAAGGCAGACGTATTGGACCAAAACGGTGAAAGCGCTTTACACCACGCGGCGAAAATGAACAGAATTGGAGTTATAGACTTTATGGTAAAAGATGGTGCAACCGTCGATATGTTCAGCAATGAAGGATTCTCTCCACTCCATATAGCTGCAAAGTAAGAGTATCAATACTTATTTCAAAACTCTATAAAGCTATAGCAAGCCGTTGGGTTAGCAGTAACTGAAAGTGACGGGTTTACACTGTCGGCCGCGTAGAATGACTGTGAACGTGACTGGTTAGAGTAAATCTCTTGATTACGTTTCAGTTTAGTTCGCTCAGTTAGTGATCCTAACTGTGCTAACTGGAACTCTATTCACTCAGAGTAACCCTGAGCTATTTTAAAAATTACTAACCTTAAGAGTCATTCGGTGTCTGGCCGCCGTCGGCCTCCGTTCGCTGTCAATTACTCCTGCTGACCGTCGTATAGGCCGGTCTTAGAAGCCGACTTAATTTCTGTCATTTCTCTGGTAGCAATGAAAAACAGAGTTGACTTCCTTATGTAACAAGCGCGCTTATCTGGCTAAATTCAAATTAAGCGAAAGGAGGCTAAAAATCGATGGGGAACTATGTCCAGGAAGGTCGAAAAAGTTTGTAAAGTAAGCTTCGGGGACGACAACAGACAACGGCTGCCAAATTGCAAATGAGCTCGCTGAAAACACTGAGTTTTGCCGGATAACTTGTTCTTTAAAGCAGTATGTTTTTGATTTAAAAATCATCGTTTAAGCAACTACCGTAAGCTTTATGTTTAACCAACTAACGGCAAATCATCGTATCCGTACCGATTCAATTCATTGTAGAGTAGAATCAACTCTAAGTAAATTTTTGCGAAGTAAACCCATATTCAGATAAGCAAAAGCAAACAGAAACTTGTTAGGTCAAATTGACAACGTTTCATTTAGACGAATCTGTAACGTAAAGGATAGTAACTGGTCTTAGATTACGATATCAACCGCTCTGTGAAGCTGGCCACCTTTTTGTAATGCTACCAGCTTTTAGATGTTTTATAGCAACTTTGTTCTTTTTTGCAAAGTAGTTTTCTAATTATCAGAGTTGATTCTACTCTACAATGAATTGAATCGGTACGGATATGATGATTTGCCGTTAGTTGGTTAAACATAAGGCTTACGGTAGTTGCTTAAACGATGATTTTTTAAATAAAAAACATACTGCTTTAAAGAACAACTTATCCGGCAAAACTCAGTGTTTTCAGCGAGCTCATTTGCAATTTGGCAGCCGTTGTCTGTCCGTCGTCCCCTTTTTTCTTTTTTGCAAAGTAGTTTTCTAATTATTATCGCTTCGCCTGCAAACCGAGCAACAGGAATTATATCTCCTGAATTCAAAATAACTCACTCACAATTGCAAGTTACATTTCACAGCTTTTAATTAATCTTTTTGCGATTCAAAAACATTGCGACCGGTGCTAAAAGAAATAATAATTTTTATTAAAAACCCACACTTGTTAGTTATTACTTTTACTGATTATTTTTTAGTGTGAATCTGGTAACTGCATTTATTTTACAAGTTTAACAGAAATTCATCTGTAGTCCCCTTTTTTACCGCAAAATGAAACATCGGTTGGGACAACACGATGTCACGCCGCGAAAGTTTAGTACTTTTTCAATAAAAGATAATTATTTCGTAACATGGCTATTTAACAATTGTTCCTTGAGCCCGAATGTTTATTTACTCTCTATTTACTCAGAGGCCATGAGGGCGAGAGGAATAATTGTTTTAGTAAAATCCAACTAGTTGGCCAAAAATATAGAGACAAAACAACTTTAGCGATAGTTAAAGCTAGACTTTTTTGCCCCCCAAAAGCCGGCGCTTTTCGCTACTAGTGGGCTATAACATATAGCCTAGTAGTAGCTCAACCAATCAGAACGCAGCATCCACTAGTTGGATTTTACTAAAAGGATATAACCATTTTAAAAGTTTTAATTATTATAAATAGAACAGCTTTCTTGTTGCGTGTCTGTTTACTCGTCAGGCCTGTTGATGGTCACATAACTGAAGCTGTTTGGTTTAAAGGATTATGTATATGTGCTATTTTCTTTTGTTATTTGGTGCCGCAAAATATTGATTCTTATGAAGGATAAAAAATTTAAACGTTGAGCATCTAATTATCATTACAAGTGGAACAAAACTTCGCAATAATGGTGCAGATTAGGAGAGTAACTGTAATGCACCTAATTACCGCAGCTTTTCAAACCCCTCACAACTGAAATGTAAATATTTGCTCAGTTAAAACCCTCGTGCGTTCATTTCAATAGGGACCTTACGAAACCACGACGACGACGGCAACGGAAACCTCAAAACAACAGTAGGGACAACAATAGGTTTAATGAGCAAAACAACAACTCCACGTGCATCACGCTTTTTTGTACATTTCGTTGCCTTAACTGCACAACTACGACATGAAATGACCACATTTTAAGTTAACTTGGGAACGGGAACGGGAACGTCAAGACGATAAATTCTACCATCTGTCTCTGAACTTGACCGCGTTCCCCTATCCTCAGCTCCAGCCAAAATCACCTTTTTTAAGTAACAGGGCGAATTGGGATAATCGCGAAAAAGTTTAAAATGATGCGAAGTCTGTTTTTCAGCGACGTTTTCATGGACGTCGCCGTTGTCGGATCGTAAGGTCCCTAATCTGACTTGGGGCTGCAGTGTATTTTGCGGAAAAGCAAGAGTTTGTACAGCTTACTATACTAATGCCTTAACGAGCTTCAACTCCACATTTCAGGCTCTAAGGTGAGGCCGGGGCTTGCTTACGTCCTTCTAGGGCCAACTTTACAAGATAAGATAGAGTGAGATCTAGGCACTAGACTACTTTCTGTTCTAGCAATCGGCGCCCCAATCAAGAAAATATTTACACAATTTCCCCTGACTTTATCGCTATTCATAAAAAAAACTCTGCGTGTTAAAAGCTTTTTTTTACAGCATGCTCTGCCTAGTATTAAAGTGAAGTTGGTCTATATTCTCTCCTCCCTCCAGACGCCGTGTTCCTCGCACATGAGGCGATTATCACACGCGCTCGCGTATTTTGCTTGCTCAACAATACCTGAGAAAAATAAGGGCCGGAACAAATAAAAGACTATCTTTTATTTCACTAACTTGCACTTCCTAAGTTGAAGTTATAACCAATACAAGTTGCTTGCTACAGGCAAACGATGGGGCTGAGCGTCTACTAAAGAAAAACAGCTGAGAAATCAAGAGGCGTTTTTCTTCAGTTTATTTGTCGACATTTAGAAGTGATGCAAATGTAAAATTTCTTTATAAAACCTGACTGAAAACTGAACAGAACTGTGAAGAAAATATCAAAAGAGCCAACTTGCCTCACGAAGAGAAGGTTTTTGGATTTTCATTGAAGCCTTCAGTTGGTTTCATTTGCATTCTATTTAATTGTATCACAATTAAATACTGCGCGAAGAAACTCAAATCTAGTGATAAAAACATCAGGGACCAAACAGTCCCTTAGGATTGTCGCGCGGGTGAGCATGTAACGTGCGAGCACGCGAGGCAAACGCGCGAGAGAGAAGAAGGAAAAGGACACACACACTGATGTTAAACTTTTGGCCTGCGTAGCTGGCGGTATTGTGTGCGTGCGAGATTAAAGTTTTGGCGGCGGCGGAGCCGTGTTCCAAAAAAAGGGAGTAGGGACGAGGCGGTTGAAATACCGCCTGCCAGAAAACCCCGGTATTTTGAATAGTCCGCACACCAGTGTGCGGGGAAACGGATTGGTCGAGGGCCATACATATGTCAATCATGTTAGATGAGCCTTCGCATATGTTTCCCAATTTAGGGAGCAGATGGCAAACTGGAAAAGACGTACATGTAAAGTGATTGTGATTTCCGCTTTAAAAAGAGCATAATCGATGACCAAATTGCCGAAATGGCGTCTTTAAACTTCACAGCGCTGGAATTGTCTATATTTAGCCGTAAGAAACAAAGGTCAAAGAAAATTAAAACACTATACAACTGCATCTGAGATCAAATCCTATCAGGAACACCTACAGAAGAATAAAACACCGGAAATGGTTACTCAGTATGCATGCAACAAACCAGCTTCATGACCTTTTAATGTTAAGCCTGCCGTTGCAAAAAAAGATTTACTCAGTCAAAGTTTAGAATGATACATGCACTGTGTGGTGCTAGTAACCTTCGCGCGAGAGCCGAGAAAATAAAAAAACCCTCTGTTCAAGCAAACTCACAATGTCACGTTTCACATTATCACGAGCTTAGGAGTCGTGTTTAGCCTGTCAACGCTTATTTCTAAACTGTCTCGCGCGAAAATAATCGGAAGTTTCAAATTGCAGGTTTCTCTTTGACTGGCTGATTTAATTGCGATCAGCTAAGATGACAAAAGTGGGCGGCATTCGAAAAATCATGGTTCTCTGGCAGGCGGTATTTCTCGCGGCTTCGCCGCTCGTGACGGCTCCGCCGAGCTTAGGAGTCGTGTTTAGCCTGTCAACGCTTATTTCTAAACTGTCTCGCGCGAAAATAATCGGAAGTTTCAAATTGCAGGTTTCTCTTTGACTGGCTGATTTAATTGCGATCAGCTAAGATGACAAAAGTGGGCGGCATTCGAAAAATCATGGTTCTCTGGCAGGCGGTATTTCTCGCGGCTTCGCCGCTCGTGACGGCTCCGCCGTCAAATCTCACTCGACTATATTACAACGGCTCCGCCGCCAAATCTCACTCGACTACTACACAATACCGCCAGCTACGCAGGTTATTAAACTTTTCGTAGTCTAACATAAAGTTGTTTTATGCTGAGCTTCCATTTCTTATCCAATAGATTCAACTCATTAGAAGCTCTTGATGCTCTGTTAAAGGTAGGATCCTGGCCAAACACGGCTGCTAAATACAGTGGTTGTACAGCGCTTCACCTTGCTGCTCGATTTGGCCATAAGGAGATCATCCATCGCCTTCTGAACGAAAAAGGTTTGGACACTGAAGTCACTGACCAGCAGGAAATGACGGCTCTTCACATAGCGATCAGTCGAGGATATCGGAAAATTTGCCAAGAGCTCCTTGACAACGGAGCTAGTGTTACCATAACAACTTCAAAGGGACGGACTTCTCTTCATCTAGCGGCAGCGAGTGGTAGCACCGATATCGTAGCACTAGTTATAAAGTCGGGTACGTACAAAGGGGACAAACTTAACCAGCGATCAGGCGTTCTTTTTCCTTTTTTCTTTCTTTCCTTTTTTCTCTTTTTTTTTTTTTTTTTTTTTTTTTTCACGCGGCGGGAACGGAAAAGAAACGGGCAAAGGGAAAAATGGGAAAAAGGATCGCCTAATGGTAGCTTAGTTAAAAGTTAGTTTACTTGCTATCAGGCTTTTGTTCGGTTGTTGCTTTTTTGCTGATTTCACATGAAACAAAGTCGGAGTGGGAGTTGTTTTTAGGAGCGTATGAGCATTATGATCTAGATCATTGAAAGCGTTGCGATTCTGCTTACAAATCAGCCGTCAATTTACTAATGAAAACTTGTTCGTCCGACGGAGACTCGAGCAGAAGCGGAAAACCTAAATCAATAAATCGCAAAGCCTAAAACATTGAGCAGTGTTATTAGTTTAGTCCGGTTTTCACTTACTTCGCGTTAGCGACGAGTCATAAGCAAAGCAGAGTCGGAAGAAAAAGAAAACGTTCCGATTCTTCCGACTCCACTGCACCGCTTATGACTCGGTTTTTTTAGTTTTCATTGGTCATATGCACTCTTAACGACTCTGCTTACGACTCCGATTAAGTCGCTAGTGAAAAATAGCCTTAGATAACATGATTTTACTAACAACTTGTCATAAAACTGAAGTTCAAATATAACACAGTCCTCAATAAAAATCGAAAGAATTGTTGCCATTTGTTGTCAGTTTCGTATGGCGGAACTTCCATTGATCGGACAATACCTACATGTTGAATCCTTTTTGTGTATTTTTTTCTTACTTAAAAGAAATTTTTCCTGCGTTGTTTAGCTCGAAAGAAATTTGTCAGTTACCCTGGAAACGCTATACAGTCTTCAAAAGACGTCCCTGAGTTGATCCAGTTTATTAACCAGAGAGACGCATGTCAGAACTCGGCCCTGCATATCGCTGTGGAAAGGGGTACCTCGTCTATGTGTCTGACCCTTCTACAGCATGGTGCTGATGTCAATCTAGAGAATAAGTGCCTTCACACACCTTTGTACGTGGCAACAATCCAAAAGAACAGAGAGATTCTGGAACTGCTCGTCCAACGAGGTGGAAACACGGATCACACAGATTATAAGCAAAAGACGCCTTTGCACAGGTATGTTCAAAAAGTGCCCGAATTATTATTTCAGTGAGAAAATAATGGTATCGGCAAACGTCTTGCTTCTCCGGGAAAGACTTAATACATGGTGTGCGGTTTTCTCTCTTTGCGCGCTGTCATGGTCACGCTATATTTCAATGGTTTCTTTCTCTATACTTCCTACAGTCGAACCTTATAACATCGGCTTCCTAATGGAAAGCGGGCAGTGTCCCTTTTTGAGATGTCGCCGTTCGTAGTGGCTCTACTACATTACATCTTTTGCAAAAACAATATTGCGCACCTCGAAAAAACTATCCAGTATTTTGCATTACCAAAATGTGTACCCCGTAAACTGCGTTAGGTGGACTGCAATAAATAAGACGAGACTAACACGTGCAACTTCCGGACTTTTAATTCCTAAAAAGGAATGGCCAAAGGCAAAGACTGCTGAACTATAAAGGCCTTAAATAGAAAGATGCGAGACATACCGTAAGAATAAAACTCCATTACTTTGATATTCTAAAAGTCGAAAAACAGTCAGACAACTACTGAATGAATTTAGAGGTGTTCCTTGAACCCAATTACCTACTCTTCCCAGCACTACAGACACATTCTCTTTCATAGCACAGTTACGTCATTTCGCAACTTAAACATTTCTTTTCGATCTACGCATTTCTCTCCGCATTTACAGTGCGCGTATCTCAAGCCGAGATAAAGAATGCGTCATGACTTCCACGTTGAGACTTGACTGTGACAAAAAATATCATACACGGGGCCGCTGAAAAGTTTGAAGTTTCAGTCAATACACCTAATAAAGTACTTCAGTTTATCTTACTGTATAACATGAGATGGGTAATAAAATATTTAAAGCCGAAACTAATAACCTTTTACTTTCGTTCTATACGCGTAATCAGTGCGGCCGCTTTTGGAAATCCAGCGTGTGTCGAGCTTCTTTTGAGGAACTCCGCAGCCCGAGATCCTAAGGACATAAATGGAATGACACCTTTTCTATGTGCAGTAGCAGCCGGCCAGACCAAGTGTGTTGAGGTGCTTTTGGATTGTGGAGCAGATATAGCAGCTCGTGATAACTTTCAAAGATCCTGTATTCATCTGGCAGTGGAAAACAAAAGAGAGGACGTGCTTAAGATATTGCTAGAGAGGTCTGGGTCAGGACATATCAATGTCCCGGATATGTATGAGAGGACTGCACTCCATTATGCTGTGTCTTCTTCCAAGATACGGGTAATAAGAAATAAAACTGAAACTAACGGGTAGAGCATGCAAATAGATTCACATTTGAATTCTATTACCTCAGCATAGACAACATACAGTACACGAGTGGGTAGGGGTCAGGCTCTGGTTGTTCAAACGTTTGATAGCGTTATCCACCGGATAAATCGCTATCCAGTGGATAAGAATTAGGGAAATCAATCATGCAGTGCGTTATTTATCCAGTGGATAGCGTTATCTACCTTTTGAACAACTGACAGAAAAACTGGGAAAGAGCCAAGATGAAGTAGTTAATTAAATTTACATTTAGTTTTAAGTTTCTAGTTTTATTTGTTTGTTTGTTGTTGTTTCTGTTTTGCTGTTGTTGTTGTGTTTCCCATTCAACGTCATTTACAACACCTTGATATGAGTTGTTTGTCTAGAAAGGCCATTCAATTTTTCCTTCAATCATTAGGAAGATTTGCAACTTGGCTTTCAAAAGTGAAATAAGGACCCGGGTTCTTTGTGTTTCTTTAAGTGTTCAATATAAAAGAATGCCAACCAACGGCACGGCAAAATACCAGGAGTCTGACAGATAAAACTAGGTTTGGTTCCATTCGAGTTCAAATAACTCCAATTTGATAGTAAATTAAGTTTTAACGTCTTTTCAAATTTCCAGCTGCTCAACATTTTGTTGGAGAAGAAAGCAAATTGCATGCTTAGAGACGCTGCTGGAAAAACACCACTGGGCATTGCAGCTGAGACTGGAATGGCCCTTCATGTCGAGGCTCTAGCTAAGGCTTCACTGGCCAGTCTTGTTCAAAGAGATGCGGATAACAGAACACCCATGCACTTCGCGGCACTGAATGGTAAAGGGTAGGTGCTCTATGGTAGACACTATTGGGATGACCAAAATTTTTGACATTAGCCTTGGACCAGGCTCCGCATTGGGGAAAAAAGGACTAAAAAATCGGCGAGCGAAGCGAGCTGAGAGGTAGTCTAGGGAGGGGAAATTTCCCCCTCTCCAGGCCACCGCTCGCCAATTTTTTTCTATTTGATCCCGTTTTTTGCCTTTTTCGAAATTCCCCCACCGCAGCTTGGTCTTAGGCTAGTTGACATAAGTAATAAACACACGCCTCCGCACATTTCTAGAGGGTTTTTCCGCCGAGTTTTAAATTGGGTTTAAAAAGTACTTCTTGCGATGGGTTGAGTAAAATTAATTGAATAAACTGCAGAAAAAGTATAAATATGGATTCAGCTCCCGCAACTCCAATCTCAGCCAGCCCCTTCCTAAGACAAAGAATGATTCGTTCACTTGCTTTTGCAGTTAAAACTATTTATCAGGGTTTGAAAATAACCTCAATTCAGGCGTGTCCTTTTGAGCAAGCAGCTCTTACATTTTGCTTGCATGATTTAGTTAGAGGATATAGTTTGACTAGCTTCTCTGAACCATGTAAGCTTTTACGGTTACTTGCCCAGCAAGAAAATACTTGTCGGCCAGACTATTCGAACGGGCCTTTTTTCGAGCCCTGTATATGATCTACGAATGCTTTGTTTACAGTAAAACAAAGTCGTAGCACTGTTCCAAAACATTTTTGTATGTACACACGTCGAGGTTAAATTCAAGGTTATGACAATTGGATGCACCTTTCAATATCAATCATCTCTTACTTTTTTCTCGTAGACAAGTCTGTTCAATTCTTGTTCAAATGGGCGCAGACGTCAACGCCACAGACTCTTATGGCTGGACTCCACTTTTGTTCGCTGCAAAAAACGGCTCAGCTGTTGTGCTACAAAACCTTCTGGAAATGAATGCCAACCTCGATCATGAGGACCAGTCCGGAAATACAGCACTACTCATATCGTCGGCCAGAGGTCACGTGGAAGCAGTGCAGCTTCTTTTAAACAGACGAGCAAGTTTGAAACCTGCTGCTGACGGATTAAACTGTTTGGATGTGGCGATTGAAAATCAGCAAGCGGACGTTCTCATGACCATCATTACAAATCCCAGGTAACATCTATTTTGCGAATGAAATTTGAAACAACGGGCGTTCTTTAAAGCGCTACTGAAATGAAAAATCAAATTGGCTATTTTGCAGTGAAAACGTTTGATCAATCTTAGATTAACTCTAATTGTCAATAAAAATGCTTATTTTCCATCAAAAGTTGTTGTTATCGCGGCGAAAAGTCAGGTAGGTAAGTGCGTCAAAAAAGGAAATATTGAGCCTGCGAAATTCTCGGCGGAGGACCACGCGAGTGACGTCACATGGTTGACATCACAGAAGCGAAGGTCTCTTTCGTCTCTTTGGAGTTTACAGTAAACATCAATTGTTTATGTCATTCTTCACGGAAAAATGTCTAGTTCAGACGATAACAGTAAGGCTATACTCACACTATACCGCTATAAAGCTCTCGCGCTGGTACGAAAACTATACCGGATAGGGCTTCTGTATTCTTGACATCCGACGACGACGACGGCACCGAGAACGTCAAAAAAGCTATAAGTTTAATAACCAAAACAACAGTTTTGCACGTGCATTACGCTTTTTTGTATATTTCTTTGCCGTCACTGCATGCACGACTACGTCGTGAAAATGCCTAATTTTACATTTTACAGAGGAAATACACGACTGAAGCGACGACGAAATCTTCCTCTCTCTTTCTGAACTTGGATATGGTTCTTAGGAATTCAACTTTAAGAGGGTTCACCAACATTTGACAAAGTTAGTGACTTGGAGTAACCGCGATGAAGATTGAGAGAACGCGAACTTCCTTTTTCAGCGAGGTTTCGCTGCCGTCGCTGTCCTCGGATCTTAAGGTCCTATTAAACCATTGGAGTGCAGTTTGAGGCTTAAAAATTCTTGACGAAAACATAAGTTTCAACAAATAACAATAATGAAAACTTTATTTGTGTTTTTGAATGTACAATTGTGAATCTCGCTACGTATAGGCAATTTAAAAATGCTGCTTGAGATTGGATTATTAAAAAGAAAAACAAAAACAAAACGAAACAAAAGCCAAAAGATGCATTAAGTCTGAGCTATCCCAGTTCCTATTTCTACAACAAAAGATGTAATATGTTGCTCTAATGGCTATATTTATCATTTTCTTGATTATATAACGTTGCTGCTTTTTGTCGATGCCAATGTCATTCATCAATTATAATAATAATAATAATAATAATAATAATAATAATAATAATAATAATGGTCTTTATTTCACATAAGATAGATACGTTTCCTATGTTACAATTGTCATGAATAATACATAATAAAATAAATAAGTGGAATAATCGTTAAATCCTAACTAACTATCTTGTAATAAGGTTGTGTTAAAATATTTTCAAATTTATTTACAAAAGCAGACGTGAAACGTTCAGTATATATCTCTGGCCGAGCCCATTTTTTTTTTTACGGAGATTGTAAGAATAGACTTTTCTCTGACGGAGTGTATGGAGCAAGTGGGTGATTATTTATAAGTTTCTTAAAATGTTTACAGTCTTGCTTTTCTAAGAGATCCCATATTTGCAACTCTTTACCTTTCACTGCCTTTAGGAAAGTTCACGTCAGTTCTTATCAAGAAAAGTGAATGACTGAAATCTTTCCATCTGAGACCTTAACTGAGTTAGCTGAGAAATTATTAGTAAGAGTGGACTCCACTACCAGTTGAATTTTTCCTAGCTGCTATACACACCTGTAAACTGCGTGAGAATCAGAAATCGTTAATCAGTTTTGTATTTTTTATCGATTCTTTTTATGTTTGCAGATGGAAGGAGGTCTTGTCAGCGAAAAGCCCAGATGGTGAAAACCGTATGGGAAAGCTGATCCGTTGTTTTCCAGATGCCGCCAAATTAGTCATGGATCGGTGTATCCATTGGTCTGTCACTCAACGATCTATCACGTATGATTTTCGTCTTCTCGATCCAGGCCCTGACGATCAAAGTGGAACAGACCATAAACCATTTTTTGGCCCCATGGAAATGGTGAAGGGAAAACAGAAAGACCTTCTGTGCCACGATCTCTGTCGAAAGCTATTCAAAATTAAATGGCGCACGTACGGATGGGGTGTTTATTGGACAAATTTGGGTTTATTTTCATTCTTTCTTTTCCTTATGACCTATTTTATGTTGACACAGCGACAGGGTATTAAGTTCCAAAAGACGATTGGTGACCCGGACGACATTTTTGAGAAGAAAAACGCCTTCAACGAATTGATCCCAATTCTGATTCTGATATTTGCTTCATTCCACCTGATCAAAGAATTTTACCAGATAGCAACTCAGCGAATGGCATACTTCAAACACCTGACAAACCTGTTAGAGTGGGCACTATACCTGTTCACCTTAATCTTTATGCTGCCTTACGTATTCACCGGTCTGACAAGTCTTAGAGGAGATCCCAATGTTACATGGCAGATGGGAACAGTTGCTGTCTTTCTAGGCTACATGAATCTCATATTGTTCATGCAGACTTTGGACTATGTTGGCATCTATGTCACCATGTTCTTTCAAGTTGCATTGACGGTGCTTAAGTCAATCAGTCTCTTTGCTTTGTTTGCCGTTGCTTTCTCCGTTGTCTTCTACATACTGTTCAAGGAACAGGTAATACCTAAATAGTCAAGTAGCAGTTAGCCCGAGCCACAGACGGGACCAAAATTCTTAAAGTCCGTCTGGGGGAAACAGCGCAACAATCCTTGTTTTGGGCCCCCAACTGTGTACTAGGATCTGAGTTGCGAGCCATGATTGGCGTGATAAAAATACCATCTGCCAATCATGTTGAAGGGAAAACCGAAAGGCATTTCCGGTAATTAGTTGAGTCCGTTAGGGGTCCAAAAGAAGGATATCGGCGCTACTTTGCAGAGTTTACCAACAGGACCTTTCCAACCGGGGTTAGAGTACGTCTGCAACGGAGGCTTAGTAGTAAAATCTTCTAAACGTTGTTGATAGTTAGTTATTTTTAATCTGAAAAAGAGTGAATGAGCACAAAAAGTTCATTTGAATATGGGAGCATCAAGAGTAGACTGGTTTTTCAGGAATCACTGATAATTTTTTGCCCCCCAAAAATTCATCGCTCAGGAGATAAGGATAGCTCTATCCACAATAAACAACAAACGTCATTTAGAAGTGAAACAAGAAGTTTGAAAATCTTATTACCGGGTGGTTGAAGTTAAAAACGTCCTTTTTACTCCAAGAAAATCTAACCTTGCGTTTTTGCTCCAAAATTGATCCGTGTGAAAAAGTGTGACATTCACCACGTGATTTGTACAGTCGAACCTACACTACCAGCCACCTCTCCACGACGGCCACCCCAATACAAAGGTAATATTTTTTTGGCGGGCAGTCCATACATTCACTCTTGTTTCAACCTCTCTACGATGGCTACCTTCTGCTGTCTCCAATGTGGCCGTTGAAGAGAGGTTCAATTGAATTACCATTATCACTCTGTTGATTTCAAAAAGTAAATACCATTTTAAAAAGTTTCCAAAATATTTAACATTTTTCACACTATTTTTCAGGATGCGTTCGACACATACGCTATGTCGCTTATGAAAGTGATTGTCATGACAACGGGGGAACTTGATTATTCTACCATGCTGGTGGAAAGCTTACACGCAAACAATTCTGCTAACGATGCTCCTCTGCTGCCTTACCGAGAGTCATCTTACCTGTTCGTAGCGCTATTTATTTTTGCCATGACAATTATTTTAACGAATCTTCTGGTAAGTAATAAGTGTTAATGACAAGAGGTGGATATTTGCCTCACCTCTTACAAGTATACACATTGTTTACTTGTTGAGCACCATTATTTACAGACGAAACATCGAATTGACTGGGACTGCGACATGTATGACGTATTCTACAGACTACTATCAACGTCTTACTTTAGAAAGCTGGTTTACTAACTTAGAACAAACGCCACTGAATCGTAGCCAACAGTTACCAGCGCCGTACAAACGACTTATTGACGAGATCAAGCAAAACTAACTACGAGAGAACGACTGGAGAACTGACAATTTGACTAACAATAGACGACTGTTTAACTGTGACAATAGACGGATCGAAACGCACCAATTACTGATGACGAGTCTTCATAGCCAATAACATCACGACTTAACTGACAGACGACCAATAACATCGCAACGTAATTGACCAATCAGATCAATAACCAGAGTATAATACCATCAACTGACGTGATACATCTCACTTTGACTCTGAAGATGACTGCCACACAGGCTGTCGAAACGCCAGTCACTGATAACAACAACAGTCCCATTCAGGACTACGGCTGCAAGAGGAGTGCTTCGAACGAGTCTCCTTGTCCTTCACACATTTCGTAATTAATCAATGGCTTCTTTATATTTTTTACTTATGCAGTCCCATAGTCTTAACTTTCAATTAAATTTAGTAGTGAGTCACTTAGTTTAAAAACGAAATTTAAACTGCTTGAGAGGAATTTTCATGCAAAACTGTGTGCTAATATATTGAGACCATGGTGATGTGTGACTTCAGTAAACAGCTTACTAAGGGATTTGCGGCTTTATCGTTTGCCCATACAGTGGACATAATTTTGATCAAGGCCAAATGACAGGAGCTTTGAAGGCGTTAATCATTCTTTGGTGTTTTGGTTCACAGGTCGGTTTAGCTGTGGGCGACATAGAAACAGTTCAGAAAAATGCTTTCCTTAGGTACAAAGGAAAGGTCGTAGACTTCGTCACTGGCATCGAAAGAAAATTTCCAAAGTGGATCACGCGTCGACTCTACCGGCCTGAGTTGACAGTCACTGGGCGTAAAGTGGAAAAAAAGATTACTTCACAGTGAGTATATTGTTAATAATTCTTCTTGTCATTTTTCAATACTCAAGAAGGTTACGAATTTTATATATTGAGTAGACACCAGAGAAATTACACGTGAAAGTTATTATTAATAAGTCGTTTACCATGTCTCTCCGGCGTAAATCTTCATGGCCATGGCATGTCTGTCCTGTACACTTGAATTTTGTAAACAAATTGACGAAGTTTGCCTAAAGCAGTATTTACCATCAAAAGCTATCAAAATGCGGTTTTTATGGCATCTTCGTTGAGGACCTTTTGCAGTCCTCTAGGATTCCTCAACTTGTCGCCAGGGTCGAACGTCCCCACGATGCTGGCAGGCAGTATTTTCAAACTTCAATAACCCTGTTGCCTTTCTTGGACGAGGTAGTACGTGAAAGTAAGCCCAAGTCATCACAGAACCGCTCATTGGCATGTTGCTGGGCAACATCTTAGAGATTTGAAGGCAAAGTCATTGCAAAAAAAGTTCAAAAAATGTATTTACATTTGGGTTTATGTTGACGTTGGGGCAGGTACACGGGTTGATGACTCTAGGGATCATAATAATCTTATCTCGAAAATGCCAGACCATGTTGACAATGTTGGTGGGTGGAGGGAGGGGGGTACTAGGGAGGTACACGTATAGAGAAGCACATAGATGTTTTCATTACAATGGAAATCACAGAAACCGGTAAAAAGTTTCTCTTTTAGACTATTGTTCAAATAGACCATTGAGTTCTGTCTCCGAACTTGGTGTAGAATTTAGTCATGTTGATTAATTATATTAATATGAGTATTAAGTATTAATATAAGGATACTTTAATAGTGCAATTGAGCCAGTGGTTTAACCTGACCATCGAAAATGGGAACTTTATAAAAATATTGTATTCCTGTTTGATGTGTTTAACGCCATGCAGTTTGATGAAATGATGTATATAGTGCCTGCATGTGCTGAAAAAACATGCTTTCGTCTCACAGCTCAATGGCAGTTACCGCCTAATGTTTTTCCCTTTATTTAAAACTTAACAACGCTAATTTATTTGCTTCTCAGAAAATTTACATTTAAAGACAAAGACCTCACGGATGAAGACAGCCAGAGGTCCGTACAAGAGGATGATGAGAAATTGGACATACTCACCAAAGAACTAGTAAAGGCTAAACAACGGCAAACATCGATCATTGAGACTATGCAGGACCATAGGAGCATCCTTTTGGCTGTAGCAGCTAGAGTGGGTGTGGATACTGGCGGTTATGGTAATGATCAAGCCAGACGGGATGTCAGCCTCTAGGGTGTAAAATTTTACCTGATATCAGTGAAGGCTGCCGATTCCTACATACCAGTGCTGTCTTCCTTGCTTTCAGTTTCTTAGTTTGTCCCATATCTTTTTTTTTTTTGCGGCTTCATGTCAAAAGGAAACAAAACTGACCTTCAGCTAGTCAAGTGATGAGCCTCATTGGCTTCAAAGATCGATTGTTAGTTGGAGCTTCGCTCCTTTAACGCGAGTGTGTGTCAGTCAGTCAGTAAAGCTACGGTAAAACGAGAATCCAAAACGTGCAACTTGAATTGCAATTATGCTGCTATACGAGTTGAAAAGCGATGTTTTACAAACCTGTCTTGCAATAAGTTAAGTTGGAAAAGTAGAACTACTCTCTACTTTTTAAACAACTTTTCGCAACCTGCATCAAACCTGATTAGGCAGGTTTGATTCCTATGGCCAGACTAAACGCGCAACAGTCGCTATTCAACTAGTTTAGCAGCATAATTCCAAAACATGTTGTACGTTTTTGCTACCTGTTTCACCGTAGCTAAAGCTATGTGGGAAACAGGGTTTGAATGGCTAATGAACGTAGACCATCTGTCCGCTTAGCACCATCACCTGGTTCAGGTGCTTTTGCATGCAATACATTTAATAAAATTTACAAATGTAATGAATTTAAAGCCCAATAGATTTCTTTGTTGAAACGTCGATCCTTCCTTGATGTTGGGGATGGTAGTTAGTGCCCGTTGTGCAGACGTAGCCTTTAAAAATTGGCGCCGGGAGTGTTTAGATCTCCAGTGTGTCTTCTTAGCGACGAAGCCACCGTGCAAAGACTTAAAATCTGAGTTTCTCCCAATCTCCTTCCCAATTGCCGCCAAAGACTACAGCAGTCGCCCACCTATCCTGCCAGTTACCTAGTCGGGATAGCTCAGTGGTCGACCTTTCATTATGGGCTGGGAAGTAGGAATGTGATGCGACACTGATGTTTTTGGGAAACTTATACTACACTCAACAGTTGTTATTTTTGTAGCAGCGACGTTATTATCACAGACAACGGGTTAAAAAAAATAAGGTCAGTTGCTAATAATGCTGCAAACAGTTGAACAACAATTTTCGCCATTTCAAATACAGTAAAAGACCTTTCAAGTGTTTTGCAAATAATATCGCAAATTCAGGGCCATAACAGAAAAAGTTTGGGAATTTATAGTTGAGAAATACAAAAAAATCAAAAACCTAATATGTGCGTTGAAAGCCTCGTTCCCAGCGTTCGCGGCGAGCCGTGTGGAGCTCAAGGTGACATGACACGGGACGATTCGCAATGTTGGGACAATATTGCAGCCATTTGAAACAACTGTAACAACAATGTTGTAACGCGGTGTTGCGCTGAAAATCGTCGTTGCGAATCGTACTGTGTAACATCACCTTTTAAGCAACGACGACGCCCACGGCTACGAAAACGTGGCTTTAAAAGGGCGATTCGCGCTGCTTCAAACTTAATCGAGCTTAATTCCATCTCGTTCAATTCGTCTAATGTCGGCAATTTTTGCTGGAGTTGAATTCTAAAAGCTCTCAATCGAAGTTCGGAAAACTAAAAGGAAGGTCGTTATTTTGTGTTCACGTCTTCCACAAAACGTGAAATTAGTGAGGTATTTTCACATCGTAGTCGTGCTGTAACGGCAAAGAAATGTAGAAAAAATGATGCACATGCAAAGTTTTTGCTTTGCCATCTTGGGTTGGAGCTGAAAAGTTCGGCAGAGGTAGTACTTTAATGGGCTATTGGCCCGCTTCCCCAATGGTTGAGTAACCATGGAAGTCTTCAGGGGTAAGTTATAAAAAGTGACAATTTCTTTAGGGGTAGAATAAAAACTGATATGAAATTCTTTGAGGGTGAAACTTTTCCCGAAATTCTTCAGGGGTAGGACTCATATTCTTCAAGTCTTCTGGGGTGAATGCAATTTTAACCAATTTTCAGGGGTAAGAAGAAAAGGTAGGCCCTCAACCCGGGGAAGGGGCAGGTGTATCGCCTTGCTGTTCCTGCTAGTCAAGAAAACTTAAAATGTGGTCATATCACATTGTAGTTGATACCCTGGTCCCAGAGGTTTTCTTGATTTTTTTTTTTTTTTTTTTTTTTTTTTTTGCGAAAGAGAGAGCGAGCCGCGGTTTGCTCTCTCTTTCGCAAACAAAAATTTCAAGAGAAACCTCTGGGACCAGGGTACGTACTTGAAGAAATTCGCGTAAAGCCAGGGCTCCCTTAGCCTGCGAAACCAGCCGTTTCTCCTCGCTCATTCCTCGCAAAACGTCCTCAGCGGCGAATCGAAGAGCGAGGAGAAACGGCTGTTTACGCAGGTTAGGGCTCCCCACGCATTTAAAACTATTGCTTTTTCTGACATTCCTTTTCTTCTCGCCTTCGTAGTTTCGCAAGGTCCCTACTGGAGACGCTAAATTAAATAAGTCTTAAAAACGCGCTCCACCGCTGCTTCAAGCGCTTACGGTATCTCTGGTATGCCTAAAACAAGCAATCAATACATTTGAGTCTTCGCTAAGCAAAACAAATGAAACGTGACTGGAGCATCCGGGATGTTTTGTTGATATTGAAAAGGTGCCCATAGAAACTATTGTTATCCAGTGTTGCGTGATAAAATTGCATGATTTTGCCGTGAACTAATACATAGAATACGTGTAGGTGATGTGGTTTTCGTATGAACTAAATTAAATATCCCTTTAAGATGGCCGATAGAGATTCGCCGGGCGATTCAGAGTCCAACGACACAAATTCCAGGAGAAACGTTGGCGGTTATCGTAGTCTTATAACACGATTTCGACAAAGTCCAATGGTTCAACCCAAAAAGCCTCATTCTTTAGCCGGATCAAGGCCTCAGCTACAAGATGACTCCGTGCGCTTAGTAGGAATGAAAATGGTCTCCTTGACGGACGCAAACATTGCTTTTCACCGCTCAGCGGCTCGCGGAAATACAGAAGAAGTGCGAAAGTTTTTGAGTGAGAAAAAAGAGGCTGTAGACGCCTTGGACGAACATGGTTTCACAGCCCTTCACTACGCCGCTCAACATAACCAAGTTTTTATCGTCAACATGCTTCTTGATTTTGGCGCTCAAGTGGCAATTACAGCCATGGATGGATCGACTCCGCTTCACCTTGCAGCAAGGTAAGTGAGTCACTGAATGACAATTTTCACATTAAAAAAAACTTTTTGCAATGCATGTATTTACGTGAACTTTGACTTATTTGTTGATTCATTCCTTAGAGTGTTAATGTTCGGCTCAATATGTCATATTTCGTAATTGCTGTTAGCCTTTCGGAAGCGAAGTTATGTTCAGGCGATTTTAAGGTTATGAATGCAGCGAAATACCGGTTATCGTATTTGCATGATGTCATTTAGCCTGCGAATCTTGCTCCTCGCGGCAACGGTCTCACGAAACGTCCCTAGCGGCTAGGAGCAAGGAGAGACGACGGTACGGCCGTGTACACTTACTAAGATGCGCGACTGAACTATTCTTAACCTTATGAGTTGGGTGCCTCCACGTCTCCACTAAATATCGATTTAGGTTATGTGGAAATAAAGATCAATGAATAAACCGGATACTTGAAATTTAGATTTGAACGAGACAAAGCGAATGAATCGAGCTGTTCTCAGCGGTCTGTTATTCTGTTACATTTCATTTGTTTTCTTAATTAGCCTGGCTTGAATGTGACCGCTAAATTACCCGATCCTACGCGCGGAAAATTTAGAACTAAAAATCTGCTTGAAATTGTAAATTTCGCGCATGTAAATTATGCAGACAAAGAAGAAATAGTTGCTAAATTACTAATTACGTATATCGGCACGACTTCAAGATAGAATTTCTTTTAAATAGCCCGTTTTAAAAATTAAAATGTGACGCTAGTCATGAGTCGTAAGCATTTCAAACTCGTTTTTGCATCTCTGTGTTAATGAGTAACTGATTATGAGGATTTTCTGCAGCCAAATTGAGCTGGACATGTGTTTCTCTTAGTCTTCTTGTACCAGCGTAACTCAAATGCTAAGACATAACGTCCAAACATTGCACATGTTTACTTTGATTCACACCTGTCAAATCAAGATGGAAGTAATTAAGCTGTGGTCACGACAATCCGATATTGACAGCCCATAATTTAATGAAAGAAAGTTTCTAAAATATGTTTTTAAAAAAGGCGTGAATGAAATGAATGAATAAATGTATTAAATCATTAAACTGACCAAAATCAATAAAAAGCTAACTAAAAACTATACATGTATATAAATAAAAAGATTAAGATATATCTAGCCGAGTTTATGAAAACCGCACCAGCTGGCAACCATCTAGGCCACACAGCTTAACTTGACTTAAATAAAGGATCTCAGCTCTTACTCATTAGCCTCCTAAAGCTAATGCGACTCTCTTCTTGGTTGCTGATTAGCAAAGAAATATTCAAGCCTATGAAAAAGACACTCTCAACTTGGCCATCTCTAGCTGCTTTCAGGCTCTACATGACAGAGACAGCTTGAGACCAAAGCTAGCCTTAAGCAGAGAATTCAAGGCCTCATCACCCCCCCCACCCCCTCCAACCCTGACCTGAAATGGCCACGCAGCCGAGCACATGGAGGGGAATCCGTTCATTGCGTCCATTGGCCAATCGGCCTGAAACATTTTTAAGAATTTGGCATGACAAACTAAAAGCTGACACATGATCAGTCAACTGATCCTCTAGAGAGCCTAACCGCTGACTATACCACGCTTTTGCAGCACCCTTCCCCCGCTAGGGATTGACGTAGAGGCCCCGTCCCAGCCTATGGTAAGTTAGCTCAGGGACTGAACTAGACTTTCAAAAAGTCCTTCGTCGGATTTAATATGTCGCGGGACTTCGTCGCTCGGTCAGCCGCTTCGTGGCCTAGAAAAGCTCGCTCGTTCACCAAACTAGTAAACTAGTGAGGTCGACTTGTATCAAGTCTAGGACTGAGCTTGACGATAAGACCAACTAAGACTTCGTGGGTACTAAAAATTTGAGCGAAAATGGCGTTTCCGGGAAATTGTCTGTCTCAGAGGGGTTATCCGTCGGATACTTAGCGTCAGGTGGATAAGAATACCAATTTCAGCACTGAAGAACACGTACCAACTCCGCGGTATGGCCAGTACCTTACGCATGCGCACAACCTTATAACCCCGGAAGAGGCAGCCATGGACAGCTGTTTCGTCCTCATTAGGATTTATCAACATGGCATATCCCTGGTACTGGCCATATCGCGGAGTTTGTACGTGTGCTTCAGTGATGAAAATAGATAAGAATACGTCCTAACGTGAAAATGTGACCTGCGTGGATTTTCTGGATTTCAGGTGACGGGGATGATCGAATGGGGGCAAAAATCATAACCCGAAACACTCCCTTGGGCTTCAAACAAAACCCCCAAATAGTCTCTGAACCAAAATTTAACCCCGAAAAATCCTATGCGGAATTTCCGAGCCACAAAAATTTCCAGAAAGCATTAAATGATATAACACGAAAAATAGAAACATTAGTTTTGAATACCCAAAAAAATACTTGCCCGAATTTTCCTACTCAAAAAAATCCCGAAATAGAAAATTTCAAACCCCAAAAAATCCTTCGATCATCCCTGTCACATGAAATCCAGAGTACCCCCACGGGCTTTTTGGGGGATGCAAATCAAAAATCCATAGTTCCGGATCTTGCCGTACTGTCACTGCTTTTGTTTTTTTTGTATTATTTATTGTTATTTTTTTCTCTCCTTTGTTCCGAAATGATTTGTTAGAGAATCTATCTCCTCCTAGCAATGCATCTTGTCTATTCTAGCATCTTGAGATTCACTGATTCGAAAAACCAAAAAGTGCACGTTGCTTAAACTTCCTGATAGAGGTAGTGGAATGAAACTCAATGTTAGCGAAAGAAACTAGTCTTGTGGAAGAGAGGATTAACATGAGAAAATAGATCACGTACCGATCTCAAGTTTTGTTTTCGAAATACGGCATTGGGCCGGAAAAATCAACGGTCATGATCGGTTTATCGAGAAACTTGCCCCAGGCAAGCATGTTAGGACAAAGTAGATTTAACCATGCTCGCCTAGACCTACCTCACCATTTGTTTACACAGAATCTGTGTTTACTATTTGCGCAAAAAATGAAAATAAGTTGTAAAATATTTTCTTTCCAGGTTCAATTCCATGGAAGCCCTTACCACACTGCTCGATTCAGGAGCCGCAGTAACCTTGACCAATAGCATCACAGGCTACACTGCTTTACACGAAGCCGCTGCGTTTGGAAACAGAGAAATTGTAGAGCATCTTCTCAAAAATGCTAAGGCTGATGCAAATGCTTCCGATTATAAGGCTGTGACACCCCTCATGCTTGCCAGTGGCTCAGGTTATAGTATTATATGTGAATACCTGTTGCAGTATGGAGCCCTTGTTGATTCTTACTCAGCAGAAGAAATGACAGCTCTTCATTTCGCCTCTGCTAATGGAGATCCTCGGGTCGCTCAGCAGATTATCGAAGCAGGTAAGTTCCCCGCAACCCCTGCCGTGCTGTGTAGGAAGTGTTCACTGTTTTGTTCAGGACGGTTCAACATGCCCTCGTTTCTTTGGTTCCCACCAAGAGAACATAAATCTATATTGTTTCCTTTTAACGCAGTTGGGTAGCGGCAAACTATTCTAGCTGGGGCCACGATAAACCCACCCAGGGGGAGTCGGGGGGGGGGGGTTCCATTCCGCTTTGTGGATACCAAAATGCTCATTGTTTATCGGCGCTCTAATTGCACCGAGCAGTTGAAAACAATGAAGCGCCGGAATATGTGTATGCAGTGCATTCTATAGAGTCAGGAATCTTCCTTTCCGGAATACAGTTGAAACTCTATGTGAGGCCACCTCTCGTAAGCGACCACCTATTGAAAACACCAAAATTTTCCCACTTATAATCAAAACCTCTCGTTAGAGATCATCTCTCATAAACGACCTTAGCCTCTTTTATAGTTTCTCATCGCTTTTAACCGCTTGTAAGCGACCACTACACATAGTGTGGTGTCTTTGTTCACGGTTTGTTAACACCATGCACTTACAGTATATGAAGACCTTTCAGTGACAACATGGCATACGTTTACGTAACTTACAAATTGCATGCTACAAATTCTTTTTTAAAAGGTACATGTGTCGGGATCTTTTCTCGAAAGAAACACCTTTGTTTTGATCCGCGTAAGCGATCACCTCCCGCCAGTAGAAGCGACCACTAAGTCTTCCCATTTTGGGTGGTATAGATTACGGAAGGTTCAGGTTCATTCACTTTAGTTCATTTAACCTAACCCAGAATAGGTCGTTGAGGAAACGTGGACTTTTCCTTGCTCTTTTCTTCCCGCCGGCGTCGAGGGCTCGCGCCGCCAAAATGTTCCCGAAACTCGCACAAATGGGCCTTCTAGTGGGCTACATTCAACCATACAGCAAGAACAAATATACCAGTGAACAATGAACTACAGTTTCCCACTTTTGTACTTATAACTGTTTCGCTTAGTCCTCAAAGAGGTAACCAATTTTGTTGTACTTTTTTCCTAGCAATCCGTCGGTATTTTAAAAGGGAACCCTCTAATGTCTCTAAGCCAGAACTTGATCCCAACTTCAAGGAATTCATCAACAAAAATGACTTAGATGGAAGTACGGCCCTTCATCTGGCGGTACAAACAGGACGGAAAGAGGTTTCCCAGGTTCTCATTCAATATGGAGCTGACGTGAATTGCCAAAACAAGAGCCTTCAAACACCAGTGTACTTGGCAGCGGTCGGTGGTCATCAGGATGTGCTACGAATGTTGATTTCACAAGGAGGTGATGTGAATGCAAAAGACAGCCAAGAGAAAACGGCGCTGCATAGGTAACTCTGCTTTCGATTTTTATCCTTTTAATCGTCAACTTTCTAAACTTGAGAACGTTTTACTTGTCTATAGCTGTAATTCTAGTTTTATTGAAACTAGCACCATACTGGAGATAATACACAGAAAAAAAGTCAAAGTCGATCGCGTTTCTACACCTACAGTTAAGTGCCTTCCCTTTTTCACCAAACACCTGATCGTGATGAAACAAAAATGAGAAAGGTTACTTCAAATTCGAAATTACTATGTGCAGCTTTTCTGTAGTTAGAGGATCGATAAGTTCAAAACATTTGCTGTCAATTTCTCAGGATACACCTACATTTAAAGTTTTATTTTGACCCATGTCAGTCTCCATTCATTAGCTATTCATTGGGCCTGGAATTGCACTATTTCAGAGGTACATGTTGGTTAAACCTCACATGCAGAGCGCCTGCATGTCAGGCGGAAACAAAGGCCACAATTCCAGAATTAAACTTATAGCCGTTAATTCGTTTTTAACTTTATGCTTTTTTTTTCTCTAACTTATCAGTGCTGCCGCTTTAGGAAGTACAAAATGTATCGAAATTCTTCATGAAAATGGCGCTGAAATTGACGTCAGGGATCTCAATGGACAGACGCCTTTCCACCTGGCAGTGGCAGCTGGTCAGACAGATTGCGCCAAGTTGTTCTTGTCATTTGGTGCGAGAGACTCCGCCCAAGATAAGCAACTGAGATGTTGCATACATCTTGCTGTGGAGCAAAACAGAGAAGAGACTCTGGACATGCTACTGAAGGAAACTAGGTCTAGTTTAGTCAACGTCCCTGATCACAAGCAACGGACAGCGCTGCATTATGCTTCTTATGCCGATAACTCAAAGGTAGTCAGTCCATTTTGATATGCTCTGGCTTTCCCCTTAAGCCTCTGTATGGGTTTTTCCGACGAAATCGAAGTCGCGACGACAATGGATATTGGTCATAATAATGCAGCGATGATCATAGTGATTAAAGTGACGATCGCCATTGCCATTTCAATTAACTTTCACAGCGTTAGTCATGCAATGACGGCAGAGAAATCTGCCAAAAAACTCGTTCCTTTTTTTATTTTCTCCTTTACGTCATCGTCGTGGTTGCGTAGAGCTCACTAGTAGCGTTACTAAGCAAACCAATTCTCGATATGCGACGATTTTGCCTGAAAAATTGACGATTTGATGGAAAACGCGCGACGAAATCGACTTTCGCAGGTACCCGAGGCTCACCCTTTATTTCAGGTTAAAGTGCTCGGCTCAGGCCTTTTTCTTAGCTTTTTCTTCGTTTTCTTAGTCAAATCGTTTGTCTTCCTCTTTTTCAAGTTGTTAGACTTGCTTCTTGAGACTAAAGTCAATGGCTGCGTTAGAGACGTCAAGCACAGAACACCGCTGCATTTGGCCGCTGAACGAGGGACAGCTCGCCAGGTGAAGGTTCTTACTCAAGCTGCACCATCCTGCGTTTGGATGCGAGATGATCAGCGGAGAACTCCATTGCACTATGCTGTTATGAGTATGAAGAGGTACAACAATTTTCAATTTTTACAAGATCTCAATACAAAGGAGCCTTTCTTTGTGAACACTTTCATAATATAGGCACATTGCTGTTTACGGACAGTTCTGTTGGTCCCAAAGTTGTCTACAGACTTCCTACAATTCCTGCCTCTATACAACAGGCACTCTAAAATGGGGGGCACTAGGCTTTGTCCATTTTTTGTCCGCATTAAGAAGGTTTGGCTGTATCGCATATTGTCGAGAGCGGAAGCTATCAGGCGATTCTATAATTTGTAGCTTCCCTCGTTTAAACCACTTTCAGTGTCTCTAAAAGAACATCTCTCTAAGGCAGTCACTTCTCTATTACGAACAGTTCGCTTGAACCCAATCATGTGAAACTTTATGCATTTCCACCTTCTCTCATACGGCCAATTCTCTATTACGGACTGCTAGATCTGTTGGTCCCAAATATATTACATTTCATGCCAAAAATCCCTACCTCTCTGATACGGACATGCACCTCTGCATTGTGAGTATCAGGCTTTGTCCCTTTGGTGCCCGTATTATTTTGAAAATGGAAACTATTGATTGTCTCAAAACTTACAACTTTAATAAACGGTCAAACTTCATCAGTTGAATAACAAAATTCCACGACTAATACCTACAAATAAATAAATAGATTTTGAAGAAAAACTGCTCTGCATCATGGAAGATGATGTCCAAGGCATATCTAAAAAGGTTACAAGAATTTGTAAATCTCGAGAACGCTGTTCCAATTCACAGCACCGATATAGCTGAGTGTTTCGCTAAATTGTGGTGTCCCTTTTATTGAATAGGAAATCCTGCAATATACTGTTAGAAATGGGTGCAGATATTAACGGGCCTGATATAGTCGGCTGGACACCCTTACTATGGGCCGCAAAGGCAGGAAATGTTGGCGTCACGGAGTTGCTACTGGAGAGAGGCGTTCTTGTGGATCACGTTGACATTGATGGGAACGCAGCACTTCACGTAGCAGCTCACTTTAGTCAAGTAGAAACGACAAGGATGTTGATGAATTATGGAGCAGACTTGCTGATGCAGAATAAACGTGAAATGACGGCTCTTGAGATCGCCATGGAAGCTCAGAACAGTGAAGTCGTGATGGTGTTTGTCAAGCACAACAGGTTAATTTAGTTAGCACGAAATTACTAAATGAGGACATTTTACCTGATTATTCGAGTCAAGCGAAGGTCCAACTTTTGCATGGCCATGAACGTACCTTTACATTTTAGTTATCTTTAGACCTTGACTGTAAGTCCGGCAGCGGAGACCCGCGTCCAGCTTAGCTCAGTTCGGGGAGCGCCGGTCTGCTAAGCGGGAGGTCGAGGGTTTTAAACCTTGGCCGGGCCAACACTCAGGGTCTTAAAATAACTGAGAAGAAAGTGCTGCCTTTGTAATGACATCAACAAAGAATAAGACTTTCTAGTCTTCTTGGACGAAAACCCGTGTGTCCTGTCTCACAGCACTTTTAATTATCTGGATCTAGTGGGACTTAAAAGAACCAATACCACTGTTCGAAAAGAGTAGGTGGTGTGGCCAACCTTTCCTGGGCTGGGTGGCTTATCCATAAGGAGAGATCTTACGAAAGGCATACCTCATGTTCCTTCGTGAGGTGTCTTAATGGCTACATGTAAACAGTGTATGTATGTGTATCGAAGATGTCCTCCCGCTTCGCAGTCAAGCTCTCTACCGAATGAACTAGTCCCGCGTGGGCCTCTCTTAACTGCGGCTTGTTTCTCCTTCTTTCGAAGTTCCAATTAAGTTGACATGAAACTCCGTAATCAGCAATTACTTTACACAGTCACACAGAGTCAAATAGAGCAACATTAAAATAAACGACTGCTAAGATAAATTTGGCACAGAAAGCCATTTTCATTCTCTCACATTCTTTATGTTCTCGACGTCGGTGCACATCGACCCATCAGGTTGAAATAGTTGGTGTTCACAACTGCTTCCATAGCAGGTATTGGATGCCAGAGAGGTTCTTAGAATTTCCTCAGCATCTGGTCGACTGTGGTATCACCTTACTAGTTAGCCTGCGTGCAGGTGTTTCCTCTTTTCTAAGTGTTTTTTTCTAAGTTCTATTTATCTTGGTAAATTTTCTCTCCCCTCAGCCTTCAGGCGGGCATAGTAATCGTGATACTATTTTGTCTACTTCAAATGGAAAGAGCTAGGAAACGCCTGCATACAGGCATTATTACGATTTTCTTACTTCCTACTACGAACTGATACGTTTTCATCAGGTTTAAACGTCGTGTCCCCAAATCCCTTCAGTCCATAGTCATTTCCATCCTTTTTGTTTTGCAGATGGCGAGAGGTATTAACTAGCCCAACTGCCCACGGTAAACCATGTCCCATGGAGAGGTTGATCGAGCATTTTCCAGACGCGGCCCATGTTGTCATGGACCGAAGCATTCAAAAATCTGTTTCTGAACGTTCCATAAAATACGATTTTACCATCCTGGATCCAGGTCCCAACGATCAAAGTGGACCAAATGGGGAGCGTTTCCTTGGATTGTCAACAATGGTTCAGCATAAACAGCAAATCCTTCTGACCCATCCGCTTTCACGCAAGTTGCTCCTCGTAAAGTGGCGAAAATTCGGATGGCTTATCTATGGTGGAAACTTAGTTCTCTATGCACTGTTTCTCATATTTTTGACCATCTTTGTCGTCACGGAGAGAAAGACGGTCAACTTCCCAGATCCGAAAAGAAAGGATGATCCCGAGGACGATTTTGACGAGGATGAATTGTTTAAAGAAAAGACACCTTTCAACCAAGCAGTCCCCTCCATTGTCGTAATTTTTGCTTTCGTCCATCTAGCCAAAGAAATCTACCAAATTTTCACTCAGAGGTTTCGTTACTTCACAGAATGGTCAAATTACCTGGAATGGACTCTTTACATCACTGCATTTTTATTTGTGTTACCCTACATTTCCGACGACACCGGTATCAGAAATGATTACAGTATCTACTGGCAGATGGGAACTTTTTCTATTTTTTTCGCCTATGTCAACTTGATTCTGATGATAGAGCCTCTCAAGTTCTTGGGACTGTATGTGACCATGTTCATCGAGGTGATGAAAACTGTCCTAAGTGTTTTAACTTTGTTCATCATGTTCACTTTGGCGTTCTCAATGGCGTTTTTCATTTTATTGCAAGAACAGGTTAGTTGCTTTAATTAGAGTTAATTGTTGATGCGAAAGGCCATTTTGGCCGTTAGCAAAGTCACCAGGGCCTGGTTCCTCGAAACATGGTTAAGTTTAACCCAGGATTAAGCCAAATTTGAAGCCAGGTTTTCTTGTCTAAGAACATGTAACGCGAGGTTACAAAATACTCTGAGCCTTTACTACGAAGAAAAGAAATGATAACGCAAAATGTTACTCTAGGCAACACATAGGAAGGTAAATACAAAATGTGGAACAAAATTTAAATCCTGGATAAGCGATAATCCGGCAGCCTTTCAGGAACCGGGCCCAGATAATCACAAGTGTCCCTGAAATGTTAAGGTATCACATTCACCCCACGTCGGAAATTGCAAGCAGTTTGATAACCTGGAATTTCCTCGAAAACTTTCAGATGACCGTATTCCATCTAAAACCTGCATTTATAGTGTATTTTTAGAATATTTTTTCCTCTCCATGTCATTTCATTGCCCTTAAAAGTTGCAATTCATTCTTGTTGAACCCTGATCCAGAAACTGCGAAAGCTCACCTTCCATGTTTTCTGAGCACTGCGGTCGATGTTACGAGCAACGTTAAGTCGACTTCATACCTTTTCTAGTTATTCGCTGTTAGGTTCGTGCATACGAAAACGCTTTTTCTTGTGACGTCTTTCCTAACAAAACCGTTCCACCGTCAACTGACAGAAACAGCAACGTACAGTGCGCTGTAGTGATCAATGGGTGATCCAGAAACACACTGAGTACCTGAACTGCCAAAACGCACCTAACTGGGGTAAATACGCTATAAAGAGAAAGAACCATCTGTTGCTCTGTTCTGTTGAATTACAGGAACATCCGCTGGGTGTTTTTCTTTGTGAAAGGACTCAAGAGGACAGATGTTCGTAATAGTTGGTCTGTAAGGGTCAAAGGGAGCCGTAATCTAGAGGGCTTTGCAAGGAAAATTTGTTTTCTTGGGAATTTTGGCAAAACGTTTGTCGAGCGATTTAGACAGTTTAGTTTATATATGTTTCTTTTTCTGCTTTGCATAGCTGCACAATAAAATGAGCCATGATAATTAACAATTAAAGACGTTTGTCACACGCGGCTAGCCTCGTTCTCTCTACGAGGCTAGCGCGCATACACAAAGCTTTTTAAATCTCTTGAGACAAAATGGCCGCCGTGAGACAAAGGTCTATTGGACGAGGCACAGGCGGCCAAAGCTTGGTGCATAAATTACCGTGAGTTTCGATACTGTTTTGCATATTACGAACAATTTAAGACTTTGTATGAGAAATTCAATATAGTTGTTAAAACGTAGAAATATAGGCATGAATATAGAAATAAATTGTACTTACGTGAACTTGGACCTGTTGTTGCTTCTTGTGTGTAATCTGGACTCAATTCATGGCCATTTTATACGACTTTGCGGCTCGTTGTTTGTTTGGTGTTGTTTTCCTACATAAAGCGAAGCAAGGCAGGTGACTGTGTGCAGTCTCAACTCACAAATTTCTCCCGCATCAAAGAACCGTGCACTGATTCACCATGAAAGCGCCAAATCGTTTTTGGCCAAGTGAGTCTCTTATCTCTTCCCCTTGTCATGGGTATTGCGATGTGTCTTTTGTGGAAAATTTTTTGAAAGTTTTTATTCTGGGCGATCTGACGTGCGCTCAGGAAACTCGATGGCTACGTGTTGCGTGGTGAACGCGTACATTTTAAATGCGCTCATCCATTTGGATAATTCCAAACACCGCTCACGTGCAATCAGCAGACTATCTGAGGGTAGGAAGATCCGTATTTTGTAATGCAATATTGACTACCCGGTTCCCCTAAGGCCATGTTTCCGTTCACCACGCAACACGTAGTCATCGAGTTTCCTGAGCGCTCAAAAAAAATTCCCACAAAAAAATACATCGCAATACCCGTGATTAGGGGAAGAGATAAGAGACTGACCATGCCTGAAGTATTTGACGGTTTCGTGGTGAATCGGCAGGGCGCGGTTCTTTGATGCGGGAGAAATTTGCGAGTTGAGACTGCACACAGTCACCTGCCTTGCTTCGCTTTATGTAGGAAAACAACACCAAACAAACAACGAGCCGCAAAACCGTATAAAATGGCCATGAACTGAGCCCAGGTTGCACAGAAGAAGGCACAACAGGCCCAAGTTTACGTAAGTACAATTTTTTTTTCCATATTCATGCATATATTTCTACGTTTTAACAACTATAATGAATTTCTCATACAAAGTCTTTAAATCGTTCGTAATATGCAAAAGAGTATCGAAGCTAGCGGTAATTTATGCACCGAGCTTGGGCCGCCTGTGATGTGGCGAACAGATAAAGTATTTGATTAATCTGGCGAACAGATTAATCATTAATTAATCTGCGAGACACTGACAAATAACGATATTTTTGCGACAATCGGGTTTATATAATAATTGTTTTATCAGTCATTCGATCACCGAGTTTGTTTTTTAAACTCTGAGAGGTCAGCGAAGCGATTTGCTATTTTCATGCAAGAGCGATCGCAAGAAGGAGAAAAGAGTGGTTTCATCTACGCATGCGTAAAATATTATTTGCATCCTAACAGCTGGACGACATTGCGCATGAACAGAACTCCACGGTTTTTGTAGTTAATTGAATCCTGCATGAACAGACCATTATTTCTAGGCAGTTATTTGTAGGTCACAGGGTGAGCTCTCGTCCAATGAAAAGGAAAAAAATTGCATTGAATGATAATATCAAGTATCATGACAGGTCGTACGAAAGAGGGTGAGCCGAACCATCTGGTTTGTTTATTATTATTATTATCATTATCATTATCATTATCATTATCATTATTATTATTATTATTACTATTTTTTGCAGACGACTAACTAACTATCCGTTCATTCTTTGCAGGACTCTTTTCAAACAATTTGGCTGACCTTTATGAAAGTGACGGCGATGACCACTGGGGAAATAGAGTATACTCCAACTGTCATTGACCAGTTGGAGAAGACAGTGCCTGGCTCTTCCACCCCCTTGGTGCCATTTGAAGAATCAACCTATATCATTTATTACCTGTTCATCCTGATTATGCCCATAGCTCTCGTCAACTTACTGGTAAGCATCACCCCATGTCAGTAAAGGATTCCAGAATCCGGCAAATTTTTGCTCGCGGATACCGGAATCGGGGAAAATTTTGCTTGCGGAGTCCGGTATCCTGGGCTTTCGAATCCGGAATACAGCTTAAGGAATCCGGAATCCCACTAACGATTGGTATCCACAATCCAAGTTCCACTGAAAAAGGCTGAAATCCAGTGCCTGTACTGTCTTAGTGGTGATAAGCATTTTCTAGAGTTAACTACTTCATTGACGTTTTCAATACGTAATTTTTGAACATAATTATATGTTCGCATTAAAACGGAACTTACTTTCATATGCGAGAGTTTACACTTGCCTTCATTTGAAAATGAGGGTATTTGAAACTCGGAATGGCCAACTGAATAATTCTTCCCCGGTGCCGGGTGTACATCCTTAAATTCACTTTGGGCAGGAGTGATGGGCTCCTGCTTTGGGGGTGTGCTGCTAAGTCTTTGTCTTGGACTTTTGAACCTGTTTCAGACCAAAGGAGCTTTCCACAAGTCTAAACTGGCAGGCCAGATCGATCTTTCTGAAAATGAGACATAAGTGTCTTCTCGAAATTTAAACTAAAACTTATCACTGCCGTGTACTCTGTTTAATAATATAAAGCAGATCTGGCTGGAAAGTCGTGGTTAAAAGCAGAATTCTCCTTACTCGCAGAGGACTGGTCTGGTCAGCCAGTTCTGGCAAATGATAAGCGACCCAAAAGATATGAATTTGTGACCTTGTGTTCCAGAAAATAACTATGAAAATAGGAATAGTGTTCCTTTGCCAGCTCTATTTCCGCCACTCTCCCGGTCTTCCCCGAGAAGAGAGATGTTCAAGGGTCCAAGAGAATCATTATCTCCTTCCGTTGATCAAGAGCAAGATGTATAGCGCGAGAACGCCGTCGCCTTCCGCTTATTTATTTGTGATTGTTTTGCTGAATTATGTTTGAAGCTAGTTTTCAAACGTTGAATTTTTATCACTGGTCGAAAGAGCTACTGAACCAAAAAAACTAACATAACAAATGTCTTTGTTCTTTGCTAGCATGCCTATAGTTGCAGTACATGTGTTCTACTATTTTTTACAAAGATTTCTTTTAAAATGATGCAAAATTTCACAAAAGCTTGGGGGGAGGGAGGGTAGATGGTCTCCTAGGACCACTCCTAAATCCGCCCGTGCAGGAGGTATACAGAACAGAACTGTAGTAATATAGCTTTTTGCACTAAGAATTTTAATCCACAAAACACTCAAAGTTAAGAGACTAAAAGAGCGACAGACGCAAAACGTACGTGGAACTTAAGAAGACTGGGCACTGATCTCGGTAGTTGGGCGATTTCATAACATGTTGCTACTTGTTTCTCCACAGATTGGTTTGGCAGTTGGAGACATCGAGACAATTCAGAAGTCAGCTTTCCTGAGAAACAAAGGGAAACAAATCACGTTTGTCGCCGATATTGAAAGAAAGTTTCCCAAGTTCTTTACCAGCAGAGTGTATCTACCTTCACTGATTGTTCGAGTTGGCTGGAAATATACTGGAATTAGGAAATTTTGGACGTAAGTTTGTATTGATTTATGTTCACTGTGACATTAAACTATGTCAGGCTATTTGCCATCTTTTTAAAAAGCTAAAACCACGTGTCTTCGCATCAAGCGAATCCTAAACATAATAGTCAAGTTTTGTTGTTTAAGACTATATCCAGGCATTGAACTGCTAACTTCCTCTCGTCTTTTGCATGAGTGGCAAACAAGGTCGGGTTGGAAACATTGGGCCAATGAATCAGTGAAGGGTTCCTGCAATGCTACTTTTTATAAAATGGTTAATCCTGCCTGTTGAAAAGAGCAGAAAAATTGTGTTTCTCGGCTTTCATTTCATAGAACAAAATGGAAAATTGTCATATTTTTAAACTTTTCACCCAATCGACTAGCATTAACAAAAACGAGGACAATTTTGTATTTTTTTCTATGAAAAATCAATGCAGAAACTTAAATGTTCTATTATTTTCAGCTACTGGTCCTAGTAGAGCTGTCCTTTTTGTAAAAAAGTATAATTGCCGGGGCCTTCAACGTTTTCAAGTTTTAATGCTTTGCTTGCAAAATTAGCAAAACGTTATACTTGGTGCTCTCTGATGAAAATTGTTGATATCTTCTTTATAAATCTCCAGGAGCAATGACTTAAGCAAAGAATTGGCCTAGAACAGCGATATCCTCATGAGATAGTCCCTTTAAGCAGCTTTTCGGGAAATTTTCATAAGCCTCTCATGCAAGGGTATTTCAATAACATTTCTAGGCTGCGATAAATTAAAAACTGAAACGGTTATTAGAGGTAGTTGATGAAACGATCAAAACTCATTGAAATTGCAGTTGATAGCTTGTGATTCGTTTACGTTTCTCTTTTCCCTCTTGTGTGGGTGGTCCGTACATCGTAAGCTAAATGAAGTCGGCTACCCCCAAAAGGGGTCAACCTCTTTCTTTCTTTTTTGTTTATTTGATTTTTCACTCAACTATTTCCGAAGCTTTGGTTTTGGAAAGGGTCAGAAAAATGATTGGTGAGCAAAAATTCGTGAAACAGCGCTTGCAGAAAAATGTTTTACAGCGCTTAAATGAATTAGAATAAAGGAGTCGATAAGAGTTGAATGGGGATAGCACGAACTAGACCTGCCATGAAAACATCTGATGAAATTTATCTGGCATATTTCTTTTAATTATATATTTATTTACTCAGTTATTTTCGATGGAAATAAAGAAAAATTCTCAGTTCCAGACGGGTATCAAACCCGGACATTCCGTACACTAGAAGGATGCGATAGCCACTCAGACAGCTACTTCAGTATTTGCGTTTTAATTCCGTCCAATTTTGGCAGTTTTCTAGCAAAATGGACACCAAAATTACCTATGTTTGGAACCATGACTTGTACATGAGGGTGGCGTTTGCATTTCCATTAAAGTGTCAGTTGAAGCACGTTGTCCCCACTCCTCTCCCCTCCCCTCCCGCTATAGAAAACGAAACCCAAACTTTTCCACTTTAGATTTAATACGTACATAAAGTTCAAGCTATTTATTCGCAACAATTTTACTTTAGGATAAGAGCCAAGAAAGAAGAGTTTCAAGACGAAGACTTGCTTGGAGACAATGACGGTGAAATAGACGAGATGACTCTGCGAATTGACAATTTAACACGAGAAGTAGAAAAATCCAAACAAAGGCAGAAGATAATGATGAATGCTGTGGATCAACAGAGGGATATTTTACTTGCTGTGGCTGACCAAATTGGTGTGGAGATCAATTTACCGTCTCGTGTTAAGATAGAGTGAAGCAGTTTAGATTTCACATCTGAAGCATTTCGCATGACTTGTGCTGCAGGGAACAGATTCATTGTTTGGACCGAATGCTGAAGCCTTGCATCGCAGACTAGCTGGCCTAAATCTCATTCAGTGGAAATATATTAGCAGATGAATCACTGTTGAATGAAGATTCCATCTGTTTGTGCGGTCGTGCAGACCTCTTTGACTTATTTTGTATTGCTGAACTGATGTAAATTAAACTTGGGGCAGTATTATATACTTATGAACAAGGCGTAATACAAAGTATTTAAAGGAATTTCGATACTATTTTGCAAGTGTTAGCACATACATGGCAACAACTGTTTACGCTTACTAGTTCATGCGCGCTTCTGAAGGACTTATTTATATCTATGCGAACAACTTTTTTAATTGCTTTCGTAGCATTGCAAATTTTTAAGTTGAGCCCAAGGCAAGACAAGACAAGAACCGTATTAATTGTTTATATCACACAAAGAAAACAGAGGAAGAAAAGACGATACTACTTATGTAAATAGCTAAAAAGCAGTAATCTAGCTAGGAAGCATTATAGAATAATTCAAAATGGAGGCACAAGTAGACATCATTGTAAGGTAAAAACAAAACAAACAAAAAAACACGCGCACAGGCTTGAATCATTGAAAAATTGAGGAACTGGAGAAAACTGATTGGGAAAGAAACAAATCGTAATATGAACTGAAAATAGCTTTTTTCAAAAGTTGCGAAGACCGATACCCCATTCATATCCACTAAACATGTTTGAAAGTAGGTTGAGTTTGATCGTCCGGGTGAACGTAGTCCTGAATAGGACTTTTGTTGTTGACAGTAACTGACGATTCGACAACCTGTGCGGTAGTCATCTTCAGAGTCAAAAACATATTTAATTAAAAATGAAAACCGGACACGGAAAACTGGAGCACAGGTTCTTACACCCGTTTGAAAGGAAACTCAACATGTTTTGTAATTTGCACTTAATTTGCAAATTTATCAACTTAAGTCAGTAAGCAGCTTTTATGAAGGAAAAAGTATTAAACCCTGTTCAACTAAACAACTTTTAAACATGTTTTAGCTTTGGTGTGAATGGGCCTTACGACATGTTATTATTCCAAAGAACGACTCAATTCTCAACAAAGTAATGCAAAATGTAGATCAAAATATAGACCAACCTGGTTTTATACTTGTGCCTGGAAGATATAAGAGTAATCGATAAAATTACCAAAGGCGGAAGGCTGTAGAGTTGAATGAAATTCAATAAATTAACCTCATTACATTTAGATCTCTAAATAAATTAGACGTATGATCATTATAGTGAGAAAAGGTGATCATTCTAACTACCTTCTTTTGTAATACAATTACAGGGTGGAACAATTGTTTACGTTTACAATGTTGCATCACCCTAGCGTCAGAGATCCGTTATATTTTTCAAGTCCATGAGCGGCATCTCCCCAGGTCCTCTCGGTCAGGGCATTCGGGTGACGTATCCGAGACGAACGGCCGTTTTTGCCTAGTCCCAGTAGGGCGTTTTCCCGGGCCTTTTCGGCCAATTTACTTCGGTAACATATCCGAGGCGAATATGCCTTTTGTACATCTCCTATAATACACCTCATTTGCCCTCCAAAATTTTGCAAAAGCATTGGTTTCAATTTCTGTTGGAACGACTGTAATACCCAGGAGAAATGAAAAACAAAGGTTATGCAAAATTTTGGGGGTAAATAAGGTGCATTATGGGAAACAAGTGGTGTATGGGTGGGAAACGCCTGGACAAAAACAGCATGCGCATAAGCAAGCGTGCTGCATTGCTTTTTGAAAATGTCCAAGTTTCTGGAGCTCTTCAAGATTTTGCAAACAGCAGGAAATTATGGTTTTAAAACCCTTGTGGATATTTTCGAAAAAGTAGATCGACTTTTACCGACTCTGAAAAGTCATCCGAATGCCAATCACAGTCCTGTGAAGATTTTTTTATTTCTGCTCCTTCAAACTGAATATGAATCGGAGTTTGTTTATTACCGGCCGCAAACTTTACATTGAAAATCATGCCTTTTATGAGAAAAACAGTAAAATTTATTAGTTGCGTATCAAGAAGTGCCCAAAAACTGAACCTAAAAGTAAAAATTCGATATTAAAAATTCGTCGACATCTTCTCGCAAGTGATGCGTGTATGTAAAAATGTAAGAAGCATTAAATTCAGTTTGGATGCTGTAGTCTCAGGATTATGTTTTAAGCTCATGTTATCAATGAAAGAACAAGCAACAACAGACAGAGAAAATGTTTCTCGAAATATTTTATTCTAAAACCTATAAATTCAGTAATCCTTAAAAGCAATTCTCGTAAAACTAACTGGCTCTTGGACCCGTTCACGCGACTCCTGCATCTATTTAAAGGCCACAGGGCTT